AAATTGTACAATGACTATAGAATATAGAGATGGATTAGATATTGACTTAAAAAAGTATAGAGATCTTCTACATTGATGCTTTTTCAAAGTAAATCTTCAAGATGAAGTTGAAATTTCAAAAACAAAAGAGATTCTTAGATCTGTGCCTTTCTAAGGTGATCAAAAACAACAATGGAGGACAAATATATAAGCAAGTTGGTATCTGCAGGCCCCTCCGCCTTCTATTTTCAGATTCAACATGGTAGTATTCTTGGTGAAATATTCAGCTTCCTCAATTACTTCATCCATCAGGCTACTCTTTCAATTTTTCTTATTTGGCGCGAAAAAAGGCAACATTAAATAAAGGTTTGATGTTGTTAATCAACTCAAACACACAAACATCATCAACTTCCAAATGATTTTCTCGCACAAATCTCATCCATCTCTGGAGTCTGAATGCCCTGCCATATTTGCATAAGTTGACATGCCAAGTTCTTTCATCCGAAACACGAAGGACGGCCTTATCATGAGCCTGGTTAAGATGTTCCTTGACAAACTTGGCTGGCAAAGCCTGAAAATAAAAAAAGGAAAGCAGGAAAACCAACAATCAAATTTTGTGAGATTATATTTATGATGTCATTTGCTCTGCAAAAGGAAGTATATTTTCTAGCTTAGTTGTTTTCAGAATGACATATACAGATAGAATTTAGCAGAAGTTGTATGTGACTTAGAAAGCTTACCAAATAACATCCACATATATTTGTGGGATGGATAGCAGCCATGAAAGAAGGGTATTTAGATTTGTAAGCATTAGCTCTCAGAAGAGCTCTATCTTTTCTACTTGCTGCAACTGGATACATCATTCTTGGAACCTCAGGTCTTCAAATTACTAATTTCCGAGTCTTAGATGAGCCACAAACAGGTTCGATATTTTTTGCTTTACTAGTTGAACATGTTCTGTTTTTCTTGTGAGGCTGTGGTGCTATTGGAGATATCTTCCTTGTTTTTGAGCATGGTGGAAATTCATCCAAGCTATCTACAGAATCATCATCCTCCTCAGTTTCTTCCCCATCAACATCTGCCGCACGTTGCAATAGATGAGGGGTAGATAGTTAATCTTTATGGCACTTCCATCAAAATTAATTCAAAATTTAAAAGACAATGTACCTGGAAACGAGGTGCAATTTGCAGCTTCTACAGCGCGGAAAATGACAACTTCAAACACAAGTCTAGTGTCATCAATCAACACAAATACACATACATCATTAACATTCAAATTATTGCCTCGAACAAATTCATGCCAACCAGACTGGAACTTGGCTCTTGGTTTTGCTATAAATTCAACAACCCAAGCTCTCCCATCCAAATCCCACAGGATAACGTTGGCAGAATTCTTACTAAGATGTCCCATAAGGATGGAAAAATCAGATGTCAACCACTGAAAATAGTTAAAAGGAAAACAAGAGAATGACATTAGGAAAATGTTGAAGAGAAGATATTTACGATTTTGCTTTGTGAAAGTACGTATCTTTGCTTCATTCTTTTTCACACTGAAATGATCTATACATCCAAGTTAGCAGAAGTTGTGACGGCCCAGAATGGTTGTCTATAGAAGCTTACCATTGGATGTCGACCAATATAAGAGCGATGCATGGGAACTATGAAAGAAGGCTTGTCAGATTTGTATGCTTTTGCTCTCTGAAGAGCTAAAGCTTTTCCACTTGTAGTCAATGGATGCCTCCTCCCACGAACGACTTGTGTTCGTTTTAGGAATCTTGGGGTGCTAGACGTGCCTCGATCATGTCTTTTGGCTGGAAAATCAACGTTGCCTGTAAAAGAATATAACATGAAATTACAACTTAGAACAGAAGAATGGCAGAAAAGGCAACAATATAAAACATGGAAAACCAAAATGAATATTCCATAAATTTCATTTCTGATTTGGACCCAATTTTAAGTTAATGTTGTTTTGTGCTTTACCACTTGAACTTGTTCTTTTTTTCTTGTGAGGCCGAGGACATGGCAATGAAGATTTCCCCTTCGATTTTCTTGGGCATGGTGGAAATTTGTCTAAGATTTCAAGAGAAGCATCATCAGAATGATCATCAGATTCATCACTAGAGTCATCATGATCATCAGATTCATCACTAGAGTCATCATCCGCGTCAGTTTCTTTCATCTCTGGCATCGTTAATGGATATTCAATCTCTACGAAACTTTTATCAAATATGCAAATGTGAAATTTGGAATTCCCTTCATATCGAAAAACTAAGGAGTGACAGTGCTCTAGAAAGTAAAACTCAGAGAACTCTGGCCAACCCTTGTCAAACCAAGCCTCACCCTCCCATCTTCTGAGTTCTATGTTCCATTTTGAACCATTTGGAAGCTTAAGAAGTACTGGATTTGATAGATCATCTCCATATTTCCTCAAAAATTTCTTTGGAATACTCTGCACAGCACAAAACGTGTCATCTGACTGATCATAAAGTGAAAAACGTAACTGGTCTTTTTGTGGCCAAGAAATGAGTCATCTCTATAATATATAAATACTAACAGGTGTCCATGCCCTAAAGAACAGAAAATAGCAGCCATGAAACCATGAACCAAAGCCAATTAATTCCAATATATGTCAAATGGGCATCATGGAGAGCTTACAAGTTTGCTCTCTCTACAAGTACCCTTTGAAACCATCATAAAGAAATGGGGATTGGTAGCATAACATTTTGGCCAGTTATGGATTTCCCTACGAAGAAAAGTCATCGTTGAAGACTTCAAGTTTCAAAGCTTTAAGAAGTGTTTCAAAGTTTATGGAACAAACAAAGCTGTTGTTTCTGAATCTTTTTCGTTAATTTGTATTCCCAGTTCTCTCTCAGATAGAAAAACAGCGGTTCTGTTTTTATGTCTTGAGATAAAAGAGCTTGTGATGAATGCATAAATGTGTGTAGTCATGAGTGTGAGTAAGCACTATTACAGAAAATACTTGCATGATATTTGCATAACCATTGCACCAAACATTTATCAAACGCATAGAAAAAGATTGCCATTTATTTTATAATAAATTATTAAAGAGTGAACTTGAAATAAAACAACCCAATGGACTCAATCATCAGTAATGATTCTTATGCAAATTGGAAGCTTTGAGCATTACCAGGTTCCTTTGACTAAATTATATATACAGAGAGCAGAGTAAACTACAGTTTGAGAGAGAGAGAGAGAGAGCTGCTTACAAGTTTGATGTCTCCAGAAGTACCCTTTGGAATCATCATTAAGAAATGGGGAGTGGAAGAGGAGAATCTTTTGGTAGGGTTGCCAATTTCCCTGCGAAGAGAATTCATGGTTGAAGACTTGAAGTTCAAAAGCTTTGTGATGTGTTTCAAAGCTCTAAGTTGTGTTTTAAAGTTCAGGGCACAAATCTGTAGTTTCTGCATATATTTCTTTCATTTGTCTTCTGTTCTGTTTCTATGTGATTTGGTGGTGAGGGTGACCAAGACCAACAAAAAAGAAGAGAGTAATTAATTACTTATTCACTCAATTCAATAAACTCGTACGTCTGTGCTTCAAGTCACCCAGAGTTTTTGCTTTGTTTTGAGATCTTTTTTTAGCCTTTTTCTTTTTGAGGTCATTTTTAGTGTAGGGGTATTATTTGTATTCTTTGGGATACTTTTATTTATTTATCAATATTCTTTGGGATACTTGTGTGAGCGAAGTGTTTGTAGTAGTTGTATTTTTTTAAATTTGAATATTACATTTTTTTTTTTTTTTTTTTTTTTTGTTTGGGTGGGGGTAAAAGGGGGGAATATTAACAGTTTTCAATTAAGTGAAATACCGTAAAAGAAATAAAAGAAGCTTTTTTTTTCTTTTTTTCTTTTTTTGGGTCACAAAGAAACGAAGCTTAATAAACGTTGGCGACTGGAATTCAAACAACTCCACAGGCCACAATCTATTAAAGGCTGAATTTATTGTGTCTAAGAAACTCCTGGAAAAACTGGATGCTCTATATTCTACATAAAACAGTATTGTTGAATATGATGGTGAGAATGAATGATCATAATTACGTCTAAAATATCGAGGTTTCGAAAATGGAGATGAATTAGAATTGACTAAAAAAAGTATAGAGATTTACATCGATGCATTTAAACTTCTTCTTTTTTAAAAGTTATATTTTGTTTTTGGCATGTTAGAGAACTCAATGTGATTGATTGAAAAACAAAAAAAAAAGGAATAAAACAAAATAAAATTGAGAAATGTAGCACTTTATCATTGTCTTTAAAAGTTTTTTTTTTTCCTGAGATTTGATTACAAATTTACAGGCCACGATCAATAATAACTTGAACAGTTGCCTTTTCAATGGGGAAGAATTCGATTTGGTTACAAAAAGTATGGAGCAGTGATGACTTTTTCAAATGAATTGTTGAAGATGGCAACTGAAACTCAAAAGAACAATGTCATTACCGACTCGAAGATTGAGCCTTTTCTAAGGTGATCAAAACAACAATGAAGGACAAATAAACATACTTACGTTTGGATTTGGACACCTTTTAAATTTGCAGGCCTCCTCTCCTTGAACATTCAGACTCAACTTGGTAGTACAGATTCAATTAGTTGATCTATCAGGCTTCGCTTTCAATTATTCAAGGTGCAATGTGCAGCTTTTGATTTGGTGCGGTAAAAGACAACATCAAATAAAGGTTTGATGTTGTTAACCAACACAAAGACACACACATCACCGATTACCAAACTATTCTCTCTCACAAAGTCCATCCAACCACCTTGGAATCTAGTTCTTGCATCGCCATATTGGTCTAATTTGACAGACCATGTTCTTCCATCTGAAACCCGAAGGATGGCATAAGTACTTGTCTGGTTAAGATGTTCTTTGACAAACGAGGATGACAAGTTCTGGAAAAAGAAAATGAAAAATAAATAAGAAGGAAAGCAGGAAAGACATTGATAAAATTTTGGAGAGTTTCTGATTTAATTTTCTTTCTAAAAGGAATGTGATGGCTCTATAGAAAGCTTACCATATGATGCCCATGGATATAAGTGGCATGCATAGCAATCTTGAAAAAGGGGTATTTAGATGCGAAAGAGTTTGCTCTCTCAACAGCTCTTTCAAGAGATATATGTGGAGGTTTCTCTCTTGTTTTTCTTGGGACGGGTGGAAAATCATCTAGGATTTCAATAGAATTATCACCAGAATCATAGCCAAAATCATCATCAGCTGGCGACAAATTACTCACGAATTAGGCAACATATTAACCAACATATTCACAAATTAACCAACATATTACTCACCTGGTGACAAGGTACAATTTGCAGCTTTTGTAGCGCAAAACAAGACAACATCAAATAAAGGTTTGACGTCGTTAATCAACTCAAAGACACACACATCACCAACTTCCAAATTATTGTCTTGCACAAATGTTGTCCAACCACTCAGGAATATTACTCTTCCTCTGGCATCTTGCCCTAATTTGACAGGCCAAGTTCTTCCATTTGGAACATGAAGTACGATGTTGTCATGAGTCCAGTTAATGTGTTCCTTGGAAAATTTGGCTGGCAAACGCTGCAAGAGAAAAAGGAGAGCAGTAAAGACTTGTAAAACTTTGAAGAGTATTTATGATTAATTTTTTATGTAAAAGGAAGTATCTATGTTAGTTTAATTCTTCTCAGACTGACATGTACCCATAGAAGTTAACAGAAGTTGTACTTGAATTGAAGCCTCTATAGATAGCTTACCAAATAACTTCTATGGATATACGAGTGATGCATAAGAACCCAACAAAAGGGGTATTCGGACTTGAATGCCTTAGCTCTCTGAAGAGCTATATCTTTTCTAGTTGCCGCAACTGGATCAATCCTCCTAGGAACCTCAGTTCCTCGAACTAGGAACTTTCGAGTCCTAGATGCCCCACAAACATCTTTGATTTTGCTTTCTGCTTTACTAATTGAACATGTTCTGCTTTTCTTGTGAGGCTGTGGTTCTATTGGAGATTTCTTCCTTGTTTTTGGGCATGATGGATAATCGTCCACAGTTTCAATAAAACCATCATCTTCATATGTTTCTTCCATCTTGGGTATAGTTTGTTCCCCATCAACATCTGCAGGCACATAACAATATATGACAGTGAGGGATAGTTGTCTATGGCACTTCCATCAAATAATAAATTCAAAAATTAGTCTACAACTTACCTGGTGATAAGGTGCAATTTGGAGCTTCTGTAGCATGGAAAAAGACAACATCAAATAAAGGTTTAATGTTGCTAATCAACTCAAAGACACACATCACCAATTTCCAAATGATTGTCTCGCAGAAACGTCCCCCAGCCACCCTGGAATCTGATTCTTCCTCTGGCCCAGTGGCCTAATTTGACAGGCCAAGCTCTTTCATCCGAAACACGAAGGATGGCATTGTCATGAACCTGGTTAAAATGTTCCTTGACAAACTCGGCTGGCAAAGACTGAAAGAAAAAAGGGAATCATCAAAGACAATAATAAGATTCTGGCGAGTACTTATGATTTATGTTGCTTTGTAAAAGGAGGTATCTTTGCTAACTTAATTCTTTTCAGACTGAATGTGTAGATAGATTTAGCAGAAATTGTACATGATGCCTCCATAGAAAGCTTACCAGGAAACCCCCAAGGAAATATTGGAGATGAATAGCTTATCAACCTCAAAAAAAGGGTATTCGGATTTAAAAGCCTTAGCTCTCTCAAGACATGATCTATACATACAAGTTAACAGAAGTTGTGATGGCCCAGCATGGCAGTACATAGAAAGCTTACCATACGATATCCATCAATATTAGTGCTCCCCATGGAAACCACGAAAAAAGGGTTGTCAGACTTGAAAGCTTTAGCTCTCTGAAGAGCTATAGCCTTCCCACTTGTAGTCGATGGATGCAGGCTCCCAAGAATCGGTTCTGTTCGCTTTGGGAATCTTGCAGTGATAGACTTGCCTCCACCATTTCTTTTGGCAGGAAAATCAACTTTGCCTGCTAAAGAATATAATAGGACATTACAAGTTAGGAGATAGACACACAGAAACTACAATAATGTAAAAGATCAAAACAAAAATGTACGAAATTTTCATTTCTGATTTGGACCAATTTTCATTTTCAATTTACTTCTCAATCATAATTTCATAAGGCCGAGTGTTTCTTGGTCTTATTAAGATGTAGAACTAAGATGTTTGGTTTCTGCTTTACCGCGTGAGCTTGTTCTGGCTTTGTTGTGAGGCCGAAGACACTGCAACGGAGATTTCTCCCTTGATTTTCTGGGGCGGGGTAAAGATTTGTCTAAGATTTCAGTAACATCACCAGAATCATCAGAATTGGTTTCTTTCATCTTGGGAATTTTTAATGCATAGTCAATCTGTTTGAAACTTTGATCAAATATGCAAACGTTGAATTTAGAATTCCCTTCATATCGAAAAACTAACGAGTGACAGTTGTCCAGAGAGTAGAACTCAAAGAACTCAGACCAACCCTTGTCAAACCAAGCCTCACCATCCCATCTTCTGAGTTCCACTTTCCATTTTGAACCACTTGGAACGTTAAGAAATACTGGATTTGACAGATCATCTCCACATTTCATCCAAAATTTATTTGGGATCCTCTGCACAACACAGAACATGTAACTGACCATAAAGTGAAAAGCATGATCTCATCTTTCTGTGGCTGAGATATCAGACATCTCAATAACATATTGCATAACCACTGCACCACACATTTTTCAAACGCATAGAAAAAGGTTACCATTTATTTTATAATAAAATTTTAACGAGTAAACTTGATTTAAAACAACCCAATGGACTCAATCATCAGTAATGATTCTTATGGAAATTAGAAACTTTGAGCATTATCAGGTTCCTTTGACTAAGTTATAATAGAGAGCAGAGCAAACTACAGTTTGAGAGAGAGAGAGAGAGAGAGAGAGAGAGAGAGAGAGAGAGAGAGAGAGAAGAGAGCTAGCTGCTTAAGTTTGAGCCTCTAGAAGCACCCTTTGGAATCATCATAAAGAAATAGGGAGTGGTAGAGGAGAATCTTTTGTAGGGTTATCAATTTCCCTACGAAGAGAAGTCATAGTTGAAGACTTGAAGTTCAAAAGCGTTGTGATGTGTTTCAAAGTTGAGGGAAATCTGTAGTTTACTTCATTGTCTTCCCAGTTCTCTCCCAGCTAGAAAAACAGGGGTTCTGAAAACAGGGGTTCTGTTCTGTTTCTGTGTGATTTGGTGGTGACCAATTTATTTATTTATTTTAACGAAGGTGGTGACCAATGTACTCGGGCTTAAATTAATTGACCCGACCAATAAAAATGTAATTGATCACTCACTCAACTTAATCAACTCAACGTCAGTCTTCAACTCACTCACCCAGTATTTTGAGGTTTTTTTTTATTCTGTCTGTTTTTTGAGAGTTTTTTGGGTCATTTTTAGTGTAGGGGTATTTGTATTCTTTGTGATATATTTTCTTGGTCAATATTGTGATGAATGCAAAAATGTGTGTAGTAGTTGCATTTTTTTCCCGTCAATATTGCGAAATACCATAATTTTTTTAAAAATAAAAAGAAGCTTTTTTTGGGAGTTTCACTAATACACCCAAAATAGTGAAACTCCCACTAGATAATTAAGTTAGCAATTGGAATTCAAACACTGAATTTCTTGTGTCTACTAAACTCCTGGAAAAACCAGCTCTACATTCTACATAATACAGATGTATTGTTGAATATGATGGTGAAAATGAATCCTCATAATGGGAATCAATTAAAACTGACTAAAAAAGAGTACAGAGATCTCCTAGATAATAGATTCACATTGATGCATTTTCAAAAGAGTTGTTCAAGATGAAAACTGATATTCAAAATAACAAACAAGGACAAATATATAAATATAAGCAACTTAATTTGAAGGCCTCCTCTGCCTTCAATGTTCATATTCAACAACTTCATCTATCAGGATTCAGGCTTCTCTTTCAATTTGCGGTTGTTGAGTCTCGAGTGTGATAAAAGACAACATCAAATAAAGGTTTGATGCTGTTAACCAACACAAAGAAGCACACATCACCTTTTACCAAACTATTCTCCCTCGCAAATTTCGGCCAGCCACCTTGGAATTTAGCTCTTCCAGCATATTGGCATAATTTGACAGACCATGTTCTTGCACCCGAAACCCGAAGGAAGACATAATTATTTGTCGGCTTAAGATGTTCCTTAACAAACGTGGATGGCACATTCTGGAAAAATAAATAAATAAATAAATATAAGGAAAGACAAATGATAAAACTTCGGAGAGAATGTTTATGATCTAATTTTCTCTGTAAAAGGAATGGGATGGCTCTATAAAAAGCTTACCATATTACGGTGATGGATATAACTGGTACGCATAGCAACCTTGAAAAAAGGGTGTTTGGATTTGAAAGCATTAGCTCTTTGAAGAGCTATAGCACTTCGCTTGCAGGGAAATCAACTTTTCCCGTTGAAGAATATAACAAACATTACTTGTTAGAACATAACAAAATAAGGTTAACAAAATAGATGAATCTTTGATTTTTCATGGACTTCTCAAACTTCATTTCATCATATTGAATGCTTCTTAGTCTGACTAAGTTTGATCTTGGTGTAATTCTACTTTACCACTTGAACTGGCTTTGTTTTTCTTGGGAGGCTGAGGACATGGCATTGGAGATTTCTCCTTTGTTCTTCTTGGGAAAGTTGTACAATTTTCTATAATTTCAACAGAATCGTCAGAAAGATAATCAGCATCACCAGACTCATCACTAGGATCATCATCTTCATTAGTTTCTTCTATCTCAGGCACTGTTTGTTCCCTATCATCGAGGCAATTAGCAGCTTCTATGTTGGGAAAAATGACAACATCAAACAAAGGCTTAACCTTGTTGTCAATCGACTCAAAAATACACACATCATTAACTTTCAAATTATTGTCACGCACAAATTCTATCCAACCAGACAGGAATTGAGCTCTTCCTCCTCCATATTTTAAATTAACAGGCCAAGTTCTCCGATCCAATACTCTAAGGATAACCTCACAAGAATTCTTAATAGGATATAGCTTGTGAAACTCGGATGGCAACCACTGGAAAAGGAAAAAAAAAGTGGAAAGAAAGAAGAAAACAATAATAAAATCTTTAAAGAGAGGAGAACACTAATGATTGTTCCACATATATAAGTAAACAGAATTTGTTAAAGCCTAGCTAGCAAGCATGGTTGTCTATAGAAAGCTTACCAAAATGTACCATGTGGTATAGGAGGGCTTTATGGCAACAATGACGGAAAAAGGGTGTTGAGATTTGTAAGCATTAGCTTTCTGAAGAGCTGTAGCTTTTCCACTTTTAGGCAATAGACGGATACTCCCAAGAAACTCCCGTGTTTTTTTCGAATCTTCGAGTGCTTGATGTGCTTCCACTGCCTAATTTAGCAGGATAATCATCTTTTCCTGTTAAAAGAACACAACAGGGTATTGCAAACAAGAACATAATGTCATAAAACACCACATGGTAATTATTAAGAACATGTAATCTATTAGTTTCATTTCTGATTTAGACTTCTGAAACATTAGTTTATAAAGTTGTGTAATTTCTTGGTTTAATTCTGCTTTACCTCTTGAACTTGTCCTGTTTTTCTTCTGAGGCCTGGGACAAGGCAATGAAGATTTCTTCCTCGTTTTTCTTGGGCACCACAGAGATTGTGTCAAGTAACTGATCAAAACGTGAAAGAATCATCTTTTTTTTTTGTGTGGATAAAAAATGAATCATCTCAGACGTCTCACAGCATAACAAACATTTTTCACACATGTATGACTAAAAATATAAAGAGAGTGCGAGAAAGATAGAGGTGCTTACAAGTTCTGCGTCACTGGAAGTGTTGCCGAGTGGTAGGGGAAAATGTTAGCCAGTCATCAATTTCTTGGGGTAAAGAAGCCATAATTGAACTACTGTGGTATGGAATTTCAAAGCTTTGGACGTAGCTGTGGTTTACTTGAGTAATATGACGGTAAAGTAATGGAGTTAATGCAAGCCCAACTTTTGTTCCAACCTACTTGACACTTCATGTGATGCTATTATATTCTTTAGACCCAAAAATAATTAACAAAAAGCTTTGGCTCTTTAAAATTAGGATAAACTCCTTCCTTCTCTTTCTCATATATATGACACTTTTTTTTGGTCGAGAATATACGTGGCATTTTATCTTCAATTAAAAAATCAATCATGTGCTACCAAGGCCTAATTCAGTGAAAAATTGTCTTGACTTTGTAGAATAATAGTCTCAAGTTCAACCTCTATGACACTAGGATCGTGTGTGTATAAACCAATCATGCTTGTAGTTCAGATTATCGCGCAATACAACACCGAACGTGGTAGCTATGTGTGGTAGCAAATAAAAACAAAATCTTTTGGAAAAGAAAATTTTGGAAAGTAAGAGCCAAAAGTCCAATTAATTGGGAAACAAACCAATCAACTCAATCTTGTCCTAGCCTTTATATCATGTCAGTGAAAGGACGTAAAACTGGTGACTTTTTTGAGTTGGCTTTGATTAGGTTGATGGAATGGAGCCAATAATATATGAAAGTAATTTAAAAGTGCTTGCTATATTCAGATCTGGGGAAAATGTTGTAGTAAATTCATCCGCCTGGGGCAGATGGGATCATCTCCCATGAAGTTAGACACGACATTGACTGCCCTGATAAGTACAAAAGAAGGGGCCACCAGCTTAGAAATGTAATTAGATTTTAGCATAAAAAAACTTTCACTTTTGAAAAAAATTAAAACTATTTTTGAAAAAAAGATAGAAAAATCTTTTAACTTTCAAATAAAAAACATGCGAATATAAAGATTTCTTAAGAAATCCAAAAATAAATAAGGCAATTTGTCATTTTGGCTTCTTTTACAAAATTTCTCTCTCCTTTGTGTTTTTCAAAGTCTCTAGAATTTTTTGTTCCTATTTACCCCCCTGCTATACCCAGTAAAAGTAAAACTATATGAGAAAAAAAAAATTACAAAGTGTAGTATCGTATGATTCTTAATCTTGTTTATAAAATTAAGGGAAGAATTGTCAACGAATTCTAGTCTAGAGGTGTTCACGGTCAGATTTAGTCCAATTTCATCCCAGATCAGAATTAAAACTGCCATTATTCATTCAATCCAGTTTGATTGGGTTTTGATGAAAAATTTGTACAATCTGTATGGTCCAGTTAGCCCCTTTTTTTTTATTTTTTTTATTTTTTAAAAATATAAATATTTATTTAAATAAAACTTAACAAATTTTTATTTTTTGGGCTTAAAAATTCACAAATAACCCAATTTTATGCAAAGGAAGGTGATTTGGAGTTGGTTTAAAGGAAGAATGTAAAGTGCCACTTACCTTCAATTAGGTTGAATAGCAATAATATATAGACGTAATCTCAAGGAATGTAAGAAGATCAACCAATTAACTCCATTAATCATCATGGTCAATTTATCCAATTTACCAGGATATGCTTTTAATTTTGTTAAAAAAAATACTTAGGCCTAATTTATTTATACCAATTTGAGTGAAATCTCCAATCTAGATAAAAACACATGCATGTTTTAAGCTGGACAAAATCTAGACCCCATGGGCTGCACCACAGATGCTAGACAGTACAAATACATGTGCTTATAGAATGAATGACAAACCGCAATTTAGATATAATAAACAAAATAAAATCCCATTTTGCTAACCAAAATGCTAAACACTCAATCAAATTAAACTTTAGTGATCTTTTTTTGGACAGTGATGAGCCCCCTAAAAATGAAAAAACCATTAGAGAAAGGAGTTACTTGTAAGGAAATTATTTTAGAATTTGGCCAGGCTCCAATCAGCCACTTCATTTCTCTCTCTCTCTCTCTCTCTCTCTCTCTCTCTCTCTCTCGCGCTTAGAAAAAAAAGACCAAAACTTACAAGCTTTCCACCTCAAAGAGCCTGCTGAAGGAAAATCTTGAAGAAGCTTGGCGTGTCCACTGGGACGTGGTAGTGGAGGAAGAACCTTTGGTTAATGACCTTCACTGGTTCTGATATAAAGTCAGTATATTTTACAATAATGAAGATAGGAAGCTTTTGAAACCTCATTTTTCTTCATCTTTTTTCATCTTTATTTAATTAAGAACTCTGGTTTAAGTGAAATTTGTGCGTTAGGTAGCAAACGGATATGAATTAATGCAAACACACGATGTCTGCCTAAGAAACTTTAGTTTATGCATCAAAATATAGTAAGTTGCACCTACAATAAATCCAGGATTGTACAACATCAGAAATATTTAACTACAAAGTGACTCCTAAGTAGTATCCAGAGACCCTCTTTAACTACAGCAAATAGTGTCCATTTACACAGCTAAAAGTGATAACTGAGCTCTTTGCATCTCTCTTTAAATGACATAACTTTGCCTAATCAATGTCTGAAAATGTGAACTTTCAGTACAATGTTGTTTCTCTCGATGAGCTCAAACGTACAAACATCTCCTCCCCTCAAACAATTTTCCGTCGCAAATGCAGTCCATCCACCAGAAAGTTTAGCTGGTGATTCTTTAGACCAACCAATCAAATTCGCAGGCCATGATCTCTCTCCAACCTGAAGAGTCACGGTTTGCTTCCTCCCTTTGATGAAACTCCGGGCAAACCTAACTGGTACATGCTGCATAAGATGGATATATGGTACTCAACACAATCACCATATGGAAACGAAACTCTATGCAAACCAAGAGAGGATTAGTAAATAAATAATGGACGTGATTTTGAACTAGTGCATAGACAACATATATACATATACACATCTATGCACAAGCAATTCGCTTACATTTAGTATTTATGTTTGAAGCTAAGTTGTATAAGTATGTACTTGTAGAACCTACCAATAGCTGATATGTTGACCCTACAGTGGCTGTAAAGGATGGATTCTTTGGGATGAACCTGTTGGCAGCTCCAAGAGCCCTTGATGATGAATTTAAAGGCCTTTGCGTAATCTGCCCATCAGTCTTCAACCCTTTGTACCTGCCTACAGTACAGCCAACAAAATATAATCTGAATTCCTTAATCTTAATTTTGGGAATGTCGCATTCTCATGGGCTAACCAATTTCAAGAGTAGGATCAAGAGAGCAAGACACACCATTTTCACAAATTGTGGTGCGACCAGTTTCAACTTGATTTATGGGGCTTTCCCTTTTCTCAACTTGATCAATTGCTCCTCCGCCAAGGCCTGTGTTCCCCAAAAATTACACAAAAAAGAACAGAATATGTGTAAGTTACAATGCAGATATAATGAGCAGATATTTCACAAATGAACAGATTTACCTGGTGACAAGGGGCAATCTTCAGCTTCGTTGGTGCGGTAAAAGACAACTTCAAATAAACGTTCATTGCGGTCAATCAATACACAAAACACACACATCACCGACTTTCAAATTATTGTCCCTTGCAAACGCTGACCAACCATTCTGGAATCGAGCCGTTGAATTTTCATATTTGAATTCAACAGGCCAAGTTCTTCCATCTAAAATCTTAAGGATTATGTTACCAGCAGACTTCTTGATGAGATGTTGCCTTGCAAACGGATGTGGGAAATGCTAAAACAAAAAGGAAATCGGGAAAAAAGATAAGAATTTATTTGAAACTAGTTATGATTCTGCTCTTTGAGGGGGAAGTGTCATTGCTTAATATTTTTTCACACTGACATCAAATAGGAGTTATCTTAAGTGTGATGATGCAGCAAGGTGTTATATAGAAAGCTTACCATGTACTGTTGAAGGATATAAGCCGGTTGAATGGCAACCAAGCAATAAGGATTTTCGGATTTGAAAGCATTAGCTCTCTGAAGAGCCAGAGCTTTTTCACTTTTAGTCAATGGATGCATCCTCCCAAGAACATCAGGTGTTCGTTTTAGGAATGTTTGACTGCTAGATGAGCCTCCAAAATCTTTCTTTGTGGGCAGATCATCTTCTCCTGTTAAAGAATGTAATAGGATCTTACAAGACAAATAAGGTTGTATCTTAATTGTGTTGGTAGGAAACACAATAAGGTAAACAATAAAAGACCAAATATAACACTCCGTACTTTTGATTTCTGATTTAGACCAATGTGTAGCCTTGTTTTTCATTGCTCCTCTGGCATGGCCTGCCTTTCCAAAAGCTATAAATAAATAAATATATATATATATAAACAGAACAAATCATATATGTGTAGGTTATGCATTCATAATGTTGTACAAACTCAAAAAATTAACAACTGATTACTTACCTGGAGGCAAGGAGCAATTCGCAGCTTCAGTAGCTCGGAAAAAGACAACTTCAAATGAGAGTTTAATGTCCTTAATCAAGATAAAGACACAAACATCCCCGAGTTTCAAATTGTTGTCCCTTACAAATACCCTCCAACCTTGCAGGAATCGGACTTTCAGTTTTGGATATGACAACTTAACAGACCAAGTTCCTCCGTCCGAAACCTTAAGGATGGCATTAGCAGGCTGCTTCATAAGATGTCTCTTGGCAAACCCTGCTGGCACAGTCTTTAAAAAAATATGGAAAGCATGATATCAGACAATAAGAGCAGTTTTGAAGAGAGAATATTGATTTATTATTTTGCTTAATACTTTTCACGCTACGGCCTTAAATTATTAGACTATGGAAATAGTTGCAACTTGTTTTTAGAAAGCTTACCAAAGAACCGCATGAGATGTACGATGGCTGCATGACAACAGTAAAAGAAGGGCATACAGATTCAAAAGCAATAGCTCTCTGAAGAGCTATAGCTTTTCCACTTGTAGTTGATGCATGCATGCTCCCAACACCATCTTTGACCTCTGATGGTGCTAATGGAGATTTTTCCCCTGTTTTGGGCAGGAGGGAAACGTGTCCAATGTTTCAACAGAATCATCATCTGATTCATCTTCCTCTGTTCAAGATTATAATGAGACAAAACACAATAAGAAAACATGTCTATATTATATTCCTTACTTTTCATTTCTGATCTTGAGCAATCTGAGGCTTTGTTTCTCAGTGAAGTTTGAGTCTTTGTTGGTCTAAAGTTGATGTTGCATTCTGCTTTACCACATGTTCTCATTTCTTGTGCGGCTGAGGACATGGCAATGGAGATTTCCCCCTTGCTTTTCTTGGGCAGGGTGGAAAACCATCCAAGATTTCTACAGAGTTATCATCTTCTTCTTCATAATCAGTTTCTTCCATTTCGGGCTTTGTCATGGCATATTCAACCTCAGTAGATGTTCTATCAAATATTAAAACATGGAAGTTTGAGTTCCCTTCGTATCCAAAGACTAGCCAATTAGCGTAGTCAGAGAGCAAAACTTGGAGAACTCCGGCCAACCCTTGTCAAACCAAACCCCACCATTATTGCATCTTCTGAGTTCTAATTCCCATTCTGCACCATTTGGAAGTTTAAGATGTACTGGACTTGATAAATGTTCTCCATATTTCATCACAAACTTCATTGGAATTTTCTGCAGAACAGAACATGTTAAAGCTTCAATAAAAATAACAAAGAAATGAATATTTCAATAAGCAGAAAACATTCTTAGCATAGTAATAGAGAGAGAGAGAGAGAGAGCGAGAGGGGCTTACAATTCTGATGTTTTTAGCAGTGTCATCTAGAATGATCTTGAAGAAGTGGGGTATGGGAGCTGAAGATGTTGGAGTGTCATGAAGAGAAGCCATGGCTGAATTAACTCAAAAGCTTGATTGAGAGATGTGTTCAAAATCAAAAGCTTGAATGAGTTTATGGAAGCATGTTAGACGGAGTTGATATAGTTCACTAAGCTAGAAAAGGAATCTAATTATTTCAATCAACAGAAGGGACATGACTTTTTTTTTTTGGGAATGGAGAGTCATCAGTACTTTTTTTTTTGGACGAATAGAGTCATCAGTACTTAGTACGACCCCATGCTTGTTGATTGGTTTTTATTTATTAATTTTATTCATGTCTTTATCTCTTCAATATTATTTTTTTGCTTTGAGATATAGTTATTTCTTCAGTTTAAACAAAAATATAAGTTATTTCTCCAATATTATCTGTGTGCCACTTATTTTCTTCACTTTGGTTGTGATTAGTGGCATCAATCTAGTCGAACCGATATAATCTGTCGTTTTAAATCGTATTATCAATTTAGTTTGGTTTTGATCAAAACAACTCAAAAGATTTAAATCAAACCGGACCATATATAATTTGATTTGGTTCGATTTTGAGCTCTTATTTTTATTTTACATGTGTAGCACTTTAATTAATATAACAATATATGGATGTTGAATTTGAAGTCTGATGGACCTTAGGAGTTAATGATATTGGATTGTAGCTATAGTAGTTATTGAAATTTAAAGTTTTATGACATGTTGAGTTTAGGATGGTTTGATCCTATAGAAAAAACAAAAAAAGAATGTAGCAAGTTATGAATGTTTTGTTGTAATTGGGCTACAATGTTGAAAAATGCAAAAAGGAAAGTTAATTGGGTTTAGGCCCAAACCAACTGAACAAAACCGAATCAAATAACCTAAATTGGTTTGGTTTGATTTAGTTTCTCCATATTTTTTGTCAAAACCAACTGAACCAAATCATTATATAGTAATTGATTTGGCTACAATTTTGAAGTGAAACCGATCCAAATTATATTATGCCACCCTTTATCGAGGACAACATTTTTACTCACCCATGATTGGTGTTTGGTAAAAATTGGGTCAAATAAATTGTGCATGGTTAATGGTTGTACGGATGAGAATGTCCTAGTAGTAAGACCCAAGCATTGTTATTTGTCCCTTTTTATCGTGCACCTACCTAGGAATTAAGTTGATGGAAAGTTAAGACAAGATAATAAGCAAATAAACAAATTGTGTCTGTACAGAGTAGGGGTATGGGGTTATATTGACTAAATCGGGGAATTCAAATTACAATTATGGGTTAGTTTGGTTTTGATTAAGAAAAGTCAAATGTTTTAAAAATCGAATTGGATCGTATATGTTTAATTTGATTTGGTTTTTGGGCTTCTGTAAACGGGCTTAAACCAAACTGAATCGTCTACTTGTATATTTATTTATTTTATTTTATTTTGCACATCTAGTCCTTTAATTAGATATAACTAGAAATGAATGTTGAATTTGAAGTTTGATAGACCTTTGAAGTTATGATATTTGAGTTTTAGCCATATTAGTTATTGAAATTTGAAGTTTTATGGAATGTTTGAGTTTTAGGATGGTTTGATATACTAGAAAATGAAAAAAGTATGTGATAAGTTGTGAATTTTTTGGTTGTAATTGGACTAACAATATTAAAAAAATGCAAAAGGAAAAATAATTGGGCTTAGGGCTGAACCAAACCAAACCAAACTGCCTTAAATTGGTTTAGTTTGGTTCTATTTCCTCTGTGATTTTTGTTAAAACCAAACCAAACCGTTATATTATAATCAATTTGGCTGCGATTTTGATATGAAACCGATCCAATCCAAACCATGTCCGGAGTACTTAAGTGATCATTTATCTTTACACTTGCGGTTCTCATTCCTTTTATTTCAATAATAATAACTTTTGATGGCAACGAGGTATAGCCCAATGAAAAGGGTCTTGACTTGTAGACCAACGGTCTTAAGTTCCAACCCACATGACATCTTGGTAGTGTGTATGCATGTGTGAGAAAAACCTCGACTTCCCGTGTAGCTATCAGTTGTAATTTTTTTTAAAATAAATTTTTATTTTTTATTTTTTTAAAAAAAACCTTGCTAAAAAAATCTTTGTGATTAAACAATCATCTCCTTTTATACGATGTCTGGAAACTTAAACGATAAGATAATGCACCTAAAACTAAAGATTTGATAAGATCAGAAAATATTACAAGTATGCACAAGTATGGCACATCTCCTTTCTTTTTCAAGGTTATTAGCTATCGTAGGAAGCTGCGCTATTATGATTTATGAAGAAGAAGCTCATCAAAACCCACGTGAGAATCTTTTGTCCCCTCAGCCAAACCACAAACGTCATTGACCAGATTACGAGGCTCTGCAATATGTGCTAGCTAGCTGTGTTTCCTTTTTCTGACCACCAATGACCACAGCAGCATGCTAAGTAAAATATACGGAAAGGAGCATTATTATTTTATCATTCCCACGTCTGGGATGATGATGGCTTTGTATTTTTCTGAATTTGGCATTTTGATTTTACTTTTTATCCTGCTCATAATGTTCCAAAAGTTCAAAATAAAATTCATCTTCAAATATTCATAAAATTAAGTCTCAAGTTAACCGAGAAGATAGCATAACATGATAATAAAAGAGGTCTTGCATATGAGATAGAAACAACATATCACTCATAAGCTACCTTATATCAGGGCCCTTAGTTATAAGCTCAAGCACACAGCATCACCTTCGTCCAAATGATGGTACTTCACAAATGCCCCGCAACCAAATCGTGGAATCTTGTTCTTGACTCCCCTGTATACAGTGGTAATGCACTTGACTGGCCAATATCTCTCATCATTTGAGATCTGCAGTGTCACATCTGATGAAACACCTCTTGCACGTATGTGTTTGTTGGCAAAGCGTACACTTATTGGCTTCAAACATAAGAAACACACAAAATAAGAGAACCAAATTACCAAACCAAAATTGAAAAATATATGTATCATTGTGTCCAGCTCATTTCTCTCCTAACCTCATTAGGGTGCTTACCAGGTGAGTTGATAAGTATGATAGATGCATTTCATCACACAAAAATGGATGTTAGATTTGAAGCTTAAAGCTTTTGAGTATGCTAAATCTTCAAGTTCTGTCTTTGCAAAAGTTCTCAATGCTAAATCCCTGTCATGCTTATTTCCTTGGCCTTCAGTTTCACTACTTGGATTGGAATTGCCTTCAGCTTCATCACCAGTGCTTGAACTGAAATACTTCATCTCTAGAGTATTTCTCATGAAAATGCGAACTCTGAAATGGGAAGTTCCCCTCCATATCTGAAGAATAACAAGCAACCATGCTTTAGGGAGTAAAATTTCGCGAATTCTGGCCCATCCCTTTTGCAGCCAAATCTCTCCGTTGCGGGGCCTAGTCAGTTTTACTGGCCAAACTGCACCATCTGGAACCTCAAGGAATATTTTGTCCGCCATTAAATCTCCATATTCCATCACAAGCATCTTTGGAATTTTCTACAATATTAACAACTTCCTCAAATTAAGATATGTTCATGTATAAAATATGTGCATGAAAAATAAATAATAAAAAGGAAACAAAGATCGGACTACTTGAGGCATGCAGCTGGTTAATTTCCTTTGAGTTTGAGTTACCCTTTGAAAACTAATTAAATTTAGGGTGTTAAAGAGTATAGCATCTCTTTTTCTTTTAGATGAAAAGGAAAACATGTTAAGGTCTAAAATTTATAACTAGAAAAGAAGACTGACCATGAGAATAAAGATGAAGAAAAAGCTATAGCTAGGTTCAACTTACAAGCTTCCCATCTTGAAGAGCCTGCTGAACGACAATCTTGAGGAAGCTTGGAAATGGAGTGCTCAATTGAAAGGCAGGGCCTTTGCCCTCTCTCCTGCTTCTAGAACTCATATGATCAAAGTTAATGAGACCCTTTTTTTTCTGTTTTGTTTTTGGGAGGCTTTCTACACTATGGAGAGGGTGATTGAGGATATATCCATTTGTGAAGACATAAGAAGATGGCTATCACCATGTGCAAATGCTGTGGTTTTTTTTAAAATAATTAATGCAGTTGTGGTTGGGTTAGGAACTTAGGACCACATTGATCGAGACTTTTTTGATATGCAGACATAGATGTAGACCTTTGTTTTTTTTGTTTTTTCATATGAGCAAAGCTTGGCTCTTTAGGAGCTCCTCCTTAAAGCAAATGAGATTTGACACTTGTTAAATTCCAAAACAAAGAAAGTTAGAAGAATTTCAAAATTGGAAAAAGTTAAATGAATTGACAAGTGTCAAAACTCATTTGTTTTGAGAATGGCTCATTCTCAGTTTAAGAAGCACAAGCTTTTTCCTTTCGTATTTGTTCCCCTCTGTAGGTGAAGTCATAAGTAACACAGGCAAGGCGCAATCGCATGAAACAAATACAAGTTGGGCTGTTGGCAAGGGTTGCAATTGGGTGGCATCTCAAGTGCATTAGAAAGTTTCTTCGTTTTAATGAAAGCATAATGGAGTCGATTTTGAGCTAGAATTTGAATAAAGTGCTCTTAGTTTAGTATATAATAATGAAGTTAATGTTTAAAGCAAATTAAGTTGTACAAATTTTAAATAAATAAAAATTTAAAGGTATTGTGTTTTTTTTTTAAATAATTGTTTTTCCTAAATTGTGTCTGTCGATAAGAGTAGTTTAGAGCATTATCCATTACTAGTAGGTTATTACCTGAGTTTCTATTGTCCCCTTTTGGTTTTTACTTTTCTAGAGTTATTACTCTATAAAGAATTTAGTATTTTCACATTAATATTTGTATTGTACACGTAAGTACTTATATTTTCATGTTTAATACATTTGCTTTTTACAAAATTTTCAATAATACACACAAATCACATATTATACACATAATACTCACATATTATTGAATAAAATTAAAAATAAAAATATATATAAATACTATTATTCACCAAGTAAATAATAATTAAATGTAAACTACTAATTAAAGTAATTTAAAAAAAAGGGAAATTCAAATTATGCTATTCAATGGGCGGCTATACTTTTAAAAACTTCTATTCTAGCGTATAGCCGCGCGTCTCTACTTTTTTTACAAAAGCTATGGGTGGGTCCCCCCGTTTTCATTAGTATCCCCCCCCCCGCGCTGCTATATACCCCAGTTTTTTTTATTATATAAAAGCGTATAGCCGACTGGCTTTACTCCAGATTTTCGCGAAAAGGACGCGCTCAAACGCTGGGTGGGTCTCTTTTTAATAAATAAAAAAATGGGGGTGAGTATAGCCGTCATCTATGCTATTTATAAATAATAAAAAAGAGCCCAGCGCTTAGTGTGTTTTATAAATAGTATACTAGACCAGGATTTTTAAATAAAAAAGGGTATAGCCACGCGGCGTTACGGGTCGTTGTTTTAATTATTTTTAATAAATGTATAGCCACGCGGCTATACGCTTTGTGCGTGTTTTTATAAATAGTATAGCCGCTCGGGAATACGCTGGTATAATAAAAAAGAGTATCCGATCGGCTTTACGGGGGTCCTTTTTATTTTAATTTTTAATTTTAATTATTTAATAAATTGTATAGCTGTGCAGCTATAATGTTTTTACAAGTATCAGATGAGAGGAAGTGAAGAAAAGCAGAAAAGCTCTCAATGATTAAGTTACAAACTAGTCCAGATCAGTTACAACTAAGCTTACACAGGCTTATATGGCATTGCCGGCAACTTAATCAATCTAACAATGAGCACACATGGGAACCATGAACTAAGTCTGAAACTTTCTTGTAACTACACAAAAAACTTGTCATGTCTACTTCATATACAGCAATCTAGAGCTTCCCTGTTAATTAAAGTCCTAGACTAAGAAAGAAAAGTCCTATGTTAGTGCAAAGCATGTACACATATATAGTTAAAGAGAGACAATTGGGCTAGCTTACAACAAGTTTTTGGTCTCTGGAATTCTTGTCTATGATCATGTTTAAAAAATGGGGAGTGTGTAGCAGAAAGTTTGGGCGAAAGAGAAGGAGCCGTGAGTTGAGATGAGATGAGATGTACGTTCACAGACAAGACTTCCAGGGATAAAAAATAAATGCTTTGAGTTGAGATGTATGTTCAAAATGAAGACCTGTGGCTTCATTTTTATGGTGCCATCTCACCTAAAGTGAAGTACAGTGGCAGGGAGTTAGAAGGCTCTGCCAACCACAAACGCTTGACATGAAAGAGGAAAAGCTTGTAGGGTTGTAGAAAATTGGGATTGGACTCATTGGACAAATGTGGATATATATATATATATATATATATATATATATATAGGACTTTTGCAAACAGTAAGAAGTTAAGTAAGATTAGTCATCTCAATTATCAACTTCAACACATCCAGACAGACTTATAAGTAGTACCAGTCACAAGTTCACAACAAAAGATGAAAGCGTATAACTTTTAAAGAGAGGTCTTGCACATGAGCTGAAAATAATAACATAGAGTCATAATCTTCCATGCACTACTGTGGGTGGGATCAGTCAAACTTGATCTTTATCTCGGAATATGCGAACTCTGAGTTTAATTTTAGGAGCCTTTCTATCACTCAAACACAACAAGCATCCCCTCTTTTCAGTTGAATTGTCCCAAAAATGTGCCAGCCATGATGATGTAATCTTGCACACTTAACCGACCACCGTTATACATCGATCAGAGCACCTCACAGTACCAAGTTTTATATCTGAAATCTGTAGGGTCACATTGTATTCGCCATCTGGAAAGGATATGTTTCATGACAAAGGATGACGGGATTCTCTGCAAACATCAGAGAAGATAAACATAGCCAAAAGGGAGTTATTAGTTACATAGATGCTGAGAGATTATTCAAAATGTGTGTTGATCTTTGAAGGAGTCCATTGTGCCAAATTCGTGTCTCTATCAGACAAATGGAGTTGTGGGGGACCAAAAAAAAACAACAAACAAAGCTTACCAAGTGATTTTAGAACATATGATGGTTGCATTCTGATCACAGTAAATGGATTGTCGTATTTGAAACTGCTAGCTTTGGCAAAGGCTCTACCTTTCAAACTTTCAAGTTTAGCAGTCTCAAATCAACCTCCGATGATTTGTGTGAAGCAGTCTTTCCTCCATCACCACCTGTTTTAATTATTCCAAAGACTCAATTTCATCATGACAAGTCCCAAAAGAAAAAGAAACATTCCAAAAGCATTATTCTTTATGAGCACTGACACAAACAGAACCAAATTTCCATATATACCAACCAAATTCTTTGGAGGAAACTAGGTGAACCTACCATGTGTCCTCTTTTCTCCTTCAGTTTGATCACCACTTGCGTTAGAATTGCCTTCGGTATCGTCACTTGAATGTTATACTCCATCTCTAAAGTTTCTTTCTAAAAATGCGAAGCTGGAAATGGGAACATTTCCCTGCATAGCTGAACAACCAAGAAGCATCCATCTTCTAGGGAGTAAAACTTTGCGAATTGGGCCAGCCCTTTCCCAAACAAACCTCGCGATCAGGCCTAGTCAATTCATGGGCCAAATTGATCCATCTGGAACGTTAAAGTACGCTGTGTTTGCCATATAATCTCCATACGTATGCACAGCAATAATTGGAATTTCCTGAATTATACAGTGGCCCTCAAATTTAACTGTGCATGCATGTTTATTGGGTAGCAACACACAGACAGAGACATGAACAAATAAAACCATAAATATCAATGGACGTTATTCAGCAGCGGTTTGAGTTAATTTCAAATGGAGAAAAGATGGATATAAGGAGAGGTGCCTGAAGAAACATTATAGAAGCAACTTGAACATCAAGATGAGAAATATCACCACAAGGTTTTCCAACTAAACGACCAGACCTAACGATAAACCTTTTTTTTTTTTTTTTTTTTTTTTTTTTTTTTTTTTTTTTTTTTTTTTTTTTTTTTTTTTTTTTTTTTTTTTTTTTTTTTTTTTTTTTTTTTTTTTTTTTTTTTTTTTTTTTTTTTTTTTTTTTTTTTTTTTTTTTTTTTTTTTTTTTTTTTTTTTTTTTTTTTTTTTTTTTTTTTTTTTTTTTTTTTTTTTTTTTTTTTTTTTTTTTTTTTTTTTTTTTTTTTTTTTTTTTTTTTTTTTTTTTTTTTTTTTTTTTTTTTTTTTTTTTTTTTTTTTTTTTTTTTTTTTTTTTTTTTTTTTTTTTTTTTTTTTTTTTTTTTTTTTTTTTTTTTTTTTTTTTTTTTTTTTTTTTTTTTTTTTTTTTTTTTTTTTTTTTTTTTTTTTTTTTTAAAAAAATATCTGAGACACGGAAAAGTAAATTGCCATATTCGAATCCTCCAATGCAACCTTTTCCTTTTCATCCCTATATAAACCCAAAAATCTTGTTAAAAGGAATCCATGACGATAACTTTTAAAACAATGGAAAACTAGGATATTAATTCCTTACTGTTCTGCACAACAAGGTACACAAAGCATATGCAAGAGCACTTTGAATAATACATCATCCTACAGTTCAAAAACAAGCCAAGAAATGAGGACATGAGTCTAAAAAACTGCAAGAAAAATACGACAAATGAAGAATACAGAACTGCAATTTTAGTACGTGAAATTGTTGAATAAGATGATGCATTCAGATAGACAAAACAAAATATGGATACAATTTTTCTCTTTTTGGGTCTGGGTGAATAGATTGCCTATTTTGCTTATATCACGTTGCATATAAACATAGACAAAAAAACTCCTAGTTTCACAGATAAAGAAGACATACCTCTTTGATATACAGTTGGATGAAGGATTTGGCAAAGTCAACGCATTCTACAAAATACATTTCATGGTCCACTGTCATGTTAGCTGGAAGATGCCCTTGAAGCCAGTTATAAAGCTCCAAGAGACCTTTCTTTCTTCCACAACACAGAAGCTCTGCATTTGAATCACAGGTCAAGCGTAAGTTCCAAGTTGTACAAGCACATTTGTTTTTAGTGCTTCCTTTTGTGCTAATCAAGCTAAAAGAACACCTCAGGAAAAGGAAAACAGCCTGTCTTTGCAGATGGCGAGAAGACAGACTATTTACTTCTGCATCAGAAACACTGGAAAGAAACGGAGAGCCTTCCAGACAATCATCCTGATCATTCTCAAGATTAAAGGGATTCCGCAAAACATCTTCAAAGTACTTATGAATAAGTTGCAACCATGTAACAGGAATTGAGAATTCCTGACAAGTTTGGAAAATGAGCCTGATCATGAGCACCTGCAGGACATGTTTAGCACAGTATACTTGTGATCAAATTCCATACGGTGCATAACACAAGCATAAGAAATAATGTAACATATATCCGCAAATACCTCACATTCCCAGCTAATTGTTGTAAAAACTAGTCAAGAAGCATGTCTTTAATAAAATCATGACATATAAAATATAACATTCACAAAGGATCTGGTGCATTACCTTTTGCAAATTTATATAAGTGTCACTGCAAAGCTATAAGGATTACAAAGAAAGCTAACATATAAAATTCTCATAATAAAATACAAAGGAAATTGTTGTATGAGAGATTAATTTTTCAAAAAGAAGAAACAAATCTTCACTAGCGTCTCTACAGGGAATGCCTAGATAACACTCTAGCATCATAATTAGTTCTGATTGCGTTAGATTGAAGGGTTTCAAATTCTGGGTATTACTCAGCCCAACTCAATTAAGCCTTCATCCCCGGAAAATAACAGTACTAACAGTAAGGCCTGTTGCTTAAGACCCTTTCAAATAGCAAATGTTAGACAGTTATCAATGCATTATGACATCAAACACTTGGTCAATGCTTAGATTTTCGGCTTAGAACCAGAACCAAAATTCGTAAGATCTGCTGACCATCAACAGTTAACTTCTGCACATTCATTATTCACAAAGAAAAGACTTGGGCTAACTCATACCAATAACTTGTGTCTAAAGTATTGAGAGATGCACTTGTTAAAGTTAACACAATCTGCTTGCTCATCAAGGCACAAACATAAAAGCTTGGGTACAAGGTTGATGATTGTAGAAATAATTGGATGATGCCTGTCTACAGATCCACTTGCAGCTTCCATAGAACCACTTTGCTCAGCCAAGGAACAGAGAAACTGAACCAAGTTGCCCAGAAACAAGGATCTTTGAAATAAAACATCCACACCAGAGCTTTTCTGAGCAACAAGATTTGGTCCAACATGAATCCCTTGTAATAAATTCCAAGGGACGGTTGAAAGAACAGAATTGACATTATCAAAGAACAGTTCAACAAGTACATCATCATCTTCCGACTTCAAATATTTTCGTATATCACGTAAAACTCGAACAACACCAGCTGCGACAGACCAGTCAGCATTTTCCAGCTTACATTTTAACACAAGAACTAAACTTGATGAACCAGAGTGAAGATCATCAGCTTCAGTTGTCAAATGTGATGAAGTACATTGAATTGCCACAGTGATCGCCAAATCCATACAAACACACAACAAATGAATAAAGGCACCCCAGTTGCTTCCCTACAAAATACATATAGCTAAGAAAATGAAGTAAACAACCATAAGCACAAAATTACATCCACTAAGGGATTGAAGTTGTAAAATACCAAAGCAGCAAGGAATTCTGAGACAGCAACTAGAACATTGCACGTCAGATGCTTGACATATTGACTCTCCACTGTTAACAAAACTATCTGTTGAAAAAGCAACAAAATTTGAAGCTTAATCATTTATATACTGCGAAATGACCACAAAAAATTCATTTACTTAGAAAGAAGAAGCTGAACTTACCAAGTGAGTTACGATTTTAGTTAGACACATGCAATCACTCTGACAATCCAATCCTATCACTGGGCCCTGATAACAAGGATTAACGGAAGATAAATACTTCAAAGTTTACGCCTTGGGGTTTCATCCCAAAAAAAGTCAAATTTGTAGTTTTTAGAGAGAGGGAGAGAGAGAGACTGACATTTTCAGAGTCGGAGTCAAGTGCTTGGGTCAAGAGCTTGACTTGTCGAAGAAGCTGAGAGAGAGTGACCAGGATTTCTCGCTCTTTGGTCACCAAAACGACACCGGATTCCTGCAAAGCAACAGAGAATTGAGCTTCTGAAACAACCAATGAAATGAAACCCTAATCATAGAGTAGGGAGAAACTTACAGTGTACGGACGGAGACAGTCATCGACCAAACGGCAGAGCCGCGAGAGCTTCGATTCACTGCACATTTTCAAATCGACGAGGAAAGGCGAAAGCTTCAGCTTCAAAACTGAGTCTTGAGATGGCCAAACGGTGCGTTTGGAAGGCGGGTCTTTGGTGATATATTGGAGAACATCAGGGACGGTTCTGATATATTGCAATTTGTTCTACTTAAAAATCCAAACCACCCACTTTTTTGGCGGGTAAAAGGATTAACTAATTTATATGCCACCGCCGTATGAAACCTCTTTCTTAGCAGCTCTCATACAGAAATGCACCTCCATAACCTCACTGAAACAAGCGCGGCAACTCCACGCTCTCTTCCTCACCACCACAGCTATTGGCTCGTACTCGCCATACCCGTACAACAATGTCATATCTATGTACTCACGGTGCGGTTCACTCGAAGATTCCCAGAAGGTGTTTGATAAAATGCCTCAAAGAAATCATGTTTCTTTCAATGCGCTCATTGCGGCCTATTCCCGAGATTCAAGAAGTGCACTTTTGGCCTTTGAACTACTTAACAAAATGGGAAGTGAATGCCTTAGGCCAAATGCTTCAACTTTCACAAGCTTACTACAAGCGTCTTATACTCTTGAGGATTGGTTGGTTGGCTCTTTGGTTCATGCCAAGGTTGTGAAATTTGGTTTCTCGAATGATTTATGTGTTCAAACTGCTCTTCTTGGGATGTACTCCAACTGTGGAGATTTGGAATCTGCGAGGAAAGTTTTTGGGTGGATAGTTGATAAAGATGTTGTGGCTTGGAATTCTATGATTTTTGGGAACTTGAAGAATGATGAGACCAAGGAAGGGCTTCATCTCTTTGATGGCATGCTGAGGAGTGGAGTTGTTCCTAGTCAATTCACATATTCAATGGTTTTGAATATGTGTAGCCGATTAAGATATTTTTGTCTGGGGAAACTCATACATGCCCGAGTCATAGTTTCAAGCACACTAACTGATTTAACTTTGCAGAATTCCCTGCTTGACATGTATTGCAATTCTGGTGACACCCGAGTAGCATTTAGTGTGTTCAGTGAAATGTACAACCCAGATTTGGTGTCATGGAACACGATGATTTCTGGGTATTCGGAACATGGGGATGGAGAGCAGGCCATGAATTTGTTTGCTCAGTTGAAGAAAATTTCTCTTCTCAAACCAGATGAGTATACTTTTGCAGCCATCATATCTGCAACAGGAACATACCTAGCTTCCGACTATGGTAAATCTCTTCATGGGCAAGTCACAAAAGCAGGATTTGAGAAAAGTGTTTTTGTAGGAACTACACTTGTGTCTATGTATTTCAAAAATAGTGAAACTGATGATGCTCAGAAGATGTTCTATTCCATTTTGGATAAAGATGTCGTTCTCTGGACTGAGATGATCATGGGTTTTTCGAGATTGGCTGATGGGGAGAGTGCAATTAAGTTCTTTTCTGAAATGTGCCAAGCAGGCCATAAGATTGACAGCTTTTCTCTCAGTGGAGCTTTGAGTGCTTGTTCCGACCTTGCCATGTTAAAACAAGGTGAGATGATTCACCCTCAGGCTGTAAAAACAGGGTACGATGTTGAAATGTCTGTCTGTGGGAGTCTGGTGGATATGTATTCGAAAAATGGTAGCCTTCAAGCTGCTTATTCCATATTTTCCCAAGTTTCAGACCCTGATTTGAAATGCTGGAACTCAATGCTTGGGGGATATAGTCACCATGGCATGGCAGAGGAAGCATTGAAGATGTTTTTTGAGATAGAAAAACATGGTCTCAGACCAGACCAAGTAACATTTCTGTCTGTGCTCTCAGCTTGCAACCACAGTGGTTTGGTTGAAGTAGGAAAGTTCTTGTGGAAATGTATGAAGGAAAACGGTATCACACCTGGGCTTAAGCACTACTCTTCCATGGTAAGTTTGCTAGGTCGAGCTCGATTATTAGATGAGGCAGAGGAGCTTATTAACAGTTCACCATTTAAGGAAGATAATCTTGAACTGTGGAGAACTTTGCTAAGCTCGTGTGTCATCAATAAAAATTTGAAAGTAGGAGTTCATGCAGCAGAGCAGGTTCTAAGTTTAGATGCAGAAGACAGTGCAACACTTGTCCTGCTGTCTAATCTCTATGCTGCTGCAGGAAAATGGGGTAGTGTGGTAGAAATGAGGAGAAAGATTAAAGTACTGACGTTGGAAAAGGATCCTGGACTAAGCTGGATTGAGGATAAGAATAATGTTCAGGTATTTTGTTCAGGTGTTCAATCAGAACAAGAGGTAGGTGAAGCCCAAGCTGCACTGCATTGGCTACAAGGAAACATGGTAAGATCACAAACAGATGAATCTGATGAACAGATGTATACTACATAAGATGTAGAAAGAGGTAGAATCTTGACATATCAATACTTGTATTAGAATCTGAGCATCCAACCGAAAACCAATTGGCAATAGGCGGAGGCCAAAGATCATTTAAACTATTATGCAAGGCTTTAGTTCCCCAACGTGGGATTCACACTCTCAACAATTTAGAATCAACGCCGCTAATTCCTTTTAATAAGCTTTAGAATTGGTACAAACTCTTTCCAGCTTTCATTACCACTAGCAATAAAGCTGCTACTTTGACAGCAGGACTCGGAAGCCTAGAAATGAACAATCTTACTTGTAGCCTAATTAACCGACCATGCATCCTAACATATTGAGTTGATGTTTTGCTTGAACTCAATGTGTTCGATACAATTAGAGTGAAGAATAAGTTTGACATAATCTGACAACAAATTTTTTTTATAAAAAAACTCGATTAAAAACTAACTGATATGATTTATACTTACAAGGCTTCAAAGTGATGAATTGAAAATAGAAAGACCAAATTCATGGTGTAACACCTAGAACACACATTTAAGTAGAGTAGTAGTTTTACACTCATGGTTAGCAAACTTATTCTCCTAACAATTGGCCTAAAACATAGCTCGCTAACATTTTAAGCGTACTTTTGTGCTATCTCCAGAAAAGCATTGGAAAGTTCTTGTGGCTTTGAAAACATTGGCATATGATCAGCACCCTTAATCTCCACCACATTTTTAACCCCGCTGTTTGCAATCATCCATCGCTGAAATTCCTCAGTTATTATCAAATCTTTGTCACAAACCACATAAACTCGTGTAACCGACCCATATCCCTCATTCGAGAAGTTCTTCATCTTAGCCACTTCTTCACGAAAGAATGAACTCTTCCTCACTAAACTCTTGGCAAGTTCCAGATCCTTTGAGCATGTACAATGCAATAACATCAGTTCAGGAAGTATAAATCCCACTTCAGGAAAGAGAGTAGACAATTAGGAAGAAAAAATCACTCTAATTGAGCAGGAATTCGTTTTCACTATAATGTATGTCATTTCCAAAATTTGACATACAAAAATCTAAACACTACTAAAATTATTAATTGCCAGAAATTTAAACTATGGAGATTTAAATTCCCTCATTTAAGAATTCTATGCAATTTTCAAGGGTAAATGTAAAGTATTTTCCATGATATAGTTGCAGTGTCTCTTGTGTCTCTGTGTGTGTTTGTGAGAGAAAGATACCTCAACGGGGCTGAGTTGATAGAGGTTCGCCTGTAAGTACTTGGGACCAAAGAATATCGATGTTAAGGGTTCTTTGGTGGCGCTTCCAAATTGTTCAAACTGAGTGTCTAGCCATGAGTCTGCTGGTATCTTCTGCATGAACTTTTGACAGAAAAAAAGCCAACCAGTGTTTTGAAATAAATTTTAGTTACCATTCTAATTAAAGTAAATAAATAACAAGGTGAGGCTTGAAATAATAGCATACCTCATCCATAATATACGATGGCTGGTGAGTTGTATCTGGCAGAAAGGCAGTCAAGAAAACAGCAGCAGAAATTTTCTGTGGGAACCTTTCCATGGCAAGGGACAAGTTCATGCCTCCAAGGCTATGCCCTACAAGGATCACCTTTTCTTTTGGACCAAGTGAGGCTATAAGCTCCAACAAAGGCTCGGAGTACTCTGCTAGTGAGTGGACATCGTGTATGGCCTTCATGTTGATGCCCGAACCGGCAAGGTTCAGCACGGTCACCTTGTGACCTGAAGACTCGAGCTTCGGCTTGATCTTGTACCAGCACCAAGCCCCATGGCCAGCACCGTGTACTAGAACGAAATGAGCATGAGCCTTCTGTGCTTCGTTGGTTGCTGCCATTTTCTTTGTTGGGTATGATCGATTGAAATTAATAAAATTCCAAAACTTATATTATAACCTAGGCAGGATTTTGCAAAGCAGAAATTTCCACAGTAGGGTTTTTTGTTTTGTGCAAGTCAAGTTGATATTAATTTATGGATAATGCTAATCTTATTACATTTTTATACCATATTATATACCACATCTTTAACAAAAGTAGTTAATTGATTGGACCCAATAATTGTTAGGAACAATCAAAAAAACCATAAAGTTGCCACTCACTAAAGTACAAATAATTGTATTTAAAAAAAACTCTTTCTCTCTCATCAATAATTTGAAGATAGGGAGCGGAGCAGGTAATCATTAAGTTTATTTTATTTTTTGACACAAGCGATATTAATATTGGAGGGGAATTCGAACATATGATCTCGGGTGCAAGAACAACTGCTTTTTAACCATTTAAGTTATAAGCCCAGCCAAATTTTTATTAAGTTTAGATGTGCAGACCACAATATATCTTGGTTTCCAATCTCTTTTCTTTTACAATTAGCATTATAGTATGGGGTCTTATGTCCCCCTTTCCCTTAGCATAAAAAATATAATGAAATCTCGATGCATAAAGTATGATTTGCGCACTAAATGATGGCATCAATTATTAGATATCGAGATATGCACTAACACGCAATATTTAATATACAGATTTGATAACTGCAGCATTATTACATAAACATAGCTCATACATGTTCAAAGTCCAAGCATAACACGTACAAACTTAATCTCCTCGATCGCTTTTCAGCCGGATCCTACCATTGTTGAATCTCAAGTATACTCATTTGATATATCTACAAGAGCATTGCAAACTTCTTGGGTCTTTGAAAACATTGGCATATGATCGGCGCCCTTGATCTCCACCACATTTGTAACCCCACTGTTTTCAATCATCCACCGTTGAAATTCCTCAGGAATTCCCTTATCTTCGCTACAAACCACATAAACTCGTGGGACCCGGCCATACCCCACATTCGAGAATTTGTTCATCTTTGACAAGTCTTGAAGAAAGAGTGAGCCTGTCCTTGCTAAACTCTTGGCAAGTTCCAGATCCTACATTCCAACATGTGCAATGTAATAATAATTGCATTTGAAGACCTAATTCTAACTCACAGATGAGTTGTGATACGTGCAGGTGTGAGGGAGAGAAAGATATGTACCTCAATGGGGCTGAGTTGATAGAGCTTGGCTAAGAACTCAGGACCGAAATGCATTGACATTAAGGGTTCTTTAGCACTTCCATAATTTGTAAACTGAGTATCCAGCCATGCTTCTGCGGGCGTGTTTTGAGTGAACTTTTCACATCGAAACAGAAACCAAAGTGTTTAAATCCGGCAGACATGAGAACATGAATGAATTGTCTCATAGCATGCTACAATACATTTTAGGATGTTCCTTAAAAAAACAAAAACATAAATAATACTACTGTTTGGGTTCCCAGACACTAGTTGAGACGTTAACCTCATGAAGTAGCAGTATCACTAAAGTGCCATTTTATTATATTGTGTACTGGAAAGAACGCAGAATTGGATCCCATTGCAATGTTTAGACTATGAAGTAGCTTTTTCTTTTTTCTTTTTTTTCTTTTTTTTAAAGGAGGTATTATGATGGGGAACAAGATCCTCGGTGTTTCATTGGTTATATATTTGCCCCATAATAATCTAGTGACCGAATTTGAAACATAATTTTATAATTATCTCTATTATTATAGGTCAATGAAAAGCATCGATCACTAGCAATTAATTAACCATGTAGTCAATCATTAACTTTTGACAAACATGATTAGCGTAATCATTGTAATTTAAGCATTTACCTTTTGACTAACAATGGAAAAAAATATAGGCTAATTAGCTGAAAGTAAAGTAACACGATTTCTTTGAGAAGCTTAGAAGTTTAATTGAAAACCAAGTGATGGAAAGCCAGTTTGCTCATAACATATAGTAAATAATTTTACATTAGGTTTTGGATTGAATTAGAGTTTATTCATATTTGTTTTGTTAATTTTCTTACCCTAATCAGATATGAGAAGGTAACCAAGAAGCATGAAAGAAACAATTAAAATTGACTTAATTATCTGTCATAAGAGCCTTTATTGTTCTTGGTTAATCCTTGGGGAGCTAGAGCAAAAAAAGGCAAATAAGCTACTATTTTTTCGGCCTCAGTTAGGAAGGGGGAGGGGGTATTCACACACGCGGTGGTGCCGTGGGGTATTCTCAACCACGTAGCTAAGACCCCATTGTCTAAAATGGCAAAGCTACTTGAGCTCTGAAATAATTATGACATACCTGATCCAAAACATGTGAAGGCTGGTGCGTGGTATCTGGCACAAAGGCGGTCAAGAAAACAGCAACAGAAATTTTCTGTGGGAAGTTTTCCATGGCAAGGGCCAAGCTCATGCCTCCAAGGCTATGCCCGACAAGGATCACCTTTTCTTCTGGACCAAGTGAGGCTATAAACTCCAACAGAGGCTCGGAATACTCTGCCAAAGAGTGAACATCTTGTATGGCCTTCGTGTTGATCCCTGAAGCTGCAAGGTCCAAGGCTGTGACTCTGTGACCAGCAGACTCTAGCCTTGGCTTGATCTTGTACCAGCACCAGGAGCCATGGCAAGCCCCATGTACTAGAACAAAATGCTTTTCTTCCTTTGGTGCTGCCATTTTTCTCTGTTGGTGATTTGTTGTTCAAATGGGATCTTTAGGCTATTTAGAAAAATTTTATACCACGTTTGGTGTATGTTTGATTGGACTAAGACTATTTTTTTTCTCTTCTGAAAAGTTAGATTTTTTTATATTTTTTTGACTTTTCTTCTCTCTCCATCTCTTTCTTCCTCTCTGCATCTCGTTTTTTAATTTTTGGACGAACCTCTCTGCATCTCTTTCTTCTTCTTCCCCTCTGCATCTCTTTTATCTTCTTCTTCTCCATTTTCTCTCCTCTACTTTTGTCTACTTTTCTTTTCTTTTCAAAAAATTTCCCCCATCTTCTCTGTTTTATTCTAAAATTTTCTCTCCTCTTCTTCTCCATTTTCTTTCCTCTTCTCCTCTATTTTCTTTCTTCTTCTCTATTTTTTTCGAAAAATTTCTCTCATCTCTTCTTCTCCATTTTCTCTCCTCTTCTCTGTTTTGTTTTTAGAAATTTTATGTTCTCTCCTCTTCCTCTTCTATTCTGTCGTCTCCTTCTTGGGTGGCTGTGGCTGGTGGTCGTCGCTGGTGGTCGTGGTGGGTGGTTGTATCTGGTGGTTAGGGATGGTGGTTGTGGCTGCTGCTTGGTCGGTCGTTGGTTGTGGGCGATTAGGTGTGGTTGCTAGTTGCTTGGGTCGTCGGGACTGTTAGTCCCTCCTCTCCAGACGGGTTTAGCTAAGAACACCTAAGGAGGTGTTTTTGGTGGGCCCAGTATTAGTTAATCCCATTTTAAATTAGAACAGGGTGAAACAAACATGGGATAAAACTTTAGCCAGTCCAATCCAAGCCAATTCCTTGTACCAAACGAGCCCTTAAGGGTTAATGGTTTTATTAGTCCCTGAACTTAGACCCAATTTGCATTTGAGTACCTCAATTTCCAAAGTGGTACCCATGGTCCTTCAACTTCATTTTCGTTAAGACAAATGGTCATGTTGTTAATTTTATTAACTTTTCTGTTAAATATAGGGGTAAAATGGTATTTTTATATTAAAACCCAAAAAATAAATAAAAAATTATATCTTTAAAATAACAATAAAATTAAATTAAATAAAAAACCAACACAAAACAAAAAATTCAAAATCAAAATCAATCATCGTCCCCGACCCCCTCCCCCAAAAAATTCATCGTCCCCGACCCCATTCCAATTCCCCCACCCCCATCTCATCATCCCCGCTTCCACCACCTCTCTCTCTCTCTCTCTCTCTCTCTCTCTCTCTCCACCTCTGCTACAATTTGGTTGTAATATAATATGGGCACTTGATTTCCAAACACTATAAGAATTGTTGAGGGTTACTCTAATATTATTGTGATGCGGCACTTTGAGAGTGGTGCAGCCAAAAGGGCGGCAGCAACTGCTGGCATTCATTGAGAGATCAGGGTTAATTAGGTAGCCACAGTCGATGGTGTACCGCAATTGGGGATTACGGCTGAGGGGTCGCACTCGCCGCCAAGTCCTGCTTTGATTAGGCCGCTGTCGTTGTCCAACAAGACGACGTTTTGATGCATGTCGAGGTGGAGGGGGGTTGGGTGGTGGGGGTCTAGGACTGCTTTGGCGCGAGGTTGAGGTTGAGGTTTAGGTGGAGGTCTCACTCGCTGGGTTTTGGGGTTTAAAGGGTGTATTGCAGAGATGGGATGAGCTGGAGTTGCAGAGATGGGAATTGAGGGAGAGCTAGAGTTGCAGAGATTCTGGGCTGGACTGGAAGGAGAGAGGGATTGAAATTTTTTTTGTTTTGATTTTTATTTGATAGGTTTTAATTGAATTTAAATATTTTATTGATATTTATTTCACCAAAGCTTTAAAAAAAAAATAAGACAAAATTACCATTTTTTGTTTGTTTTTAATATTTTATTCATATTTTAATCAATTAAAAAATATAAAAATACCATTTTATCCCTGTATTTAACAGAAAAGTTAACAAAATTGACGGCAGGACCATTTGTCTTAACGAAAATGAAGTTGAAGGACCATGGATACCATTTTAGAAATTGAGGTACTCAAATACAAATCGAGTCTAAGTTCAGGGACTAATAAAACTATTAACCCTTAATTTAATTTAGTCCTTTAATTTGTCGGTTCATTTTATGTAACATGGTTTTAAAGGTCTAGTTAAATCTCTTATTCTCCTTCCACAATGCTTTGTTGGTTTGCAAGTAACAGAGTGGGGAAGTACTTGTGTACTTATCTCGATTTGCATTATCTCCCTTTCTACATGTAAGATGAGATTATATACGAGATTGTGTTAATATGATATATATTGTCGGCTCATTATTAATAATCTAAACTTTTGAGATCGAATGGTTGACAACTTTAATTTCAATTATGCTTATATTGCCTCTGCTTCTTTAGTAGGAACAAGTTCCCCTTAATTTTTTTATCAATTAAATTTTTTGAAAAGGGCCGGAAATTTCAATTAACCTTTAAGTGAAGAATGTGATGAGGACTTAATTCGAGTTTTTAACTTGAAAACAAGTTATGATTTGAATCAGATAGCTGGATATAGTAATTAGGACAAATGTCAAGAGCTTTACCAGAACATACAACATAGCCACCATAAAAATTTACACAAGTTAGGTGGTTGCCACTTATCATGACTGAAACCAGACGGAATTTAATACATTGTATTGTCACTTGCATTGCATACATGAACTAGAACCGAACTGCATACACAGAAAAAGGACACTATACTTAGGTAATCATAGGCATGTGGGGGTCAAATATGACACTTGCAGACATGAAGGAACTACAAATGGACAATTACAAGATGTGACGAGTCATAGTCATTACAACTGTAGAATGAACCGATGGACACTGAAGAGTCATTATCATTATTAATGTTATGCATTCTATTTTATGGTCTAGTTGCTGCCATAAAAATAAAGTAGCGAATCAATAGAATGAGATTTCAACTTCGAATCTCCTCTAACTTATGGCAAGTAGAGTCATGATTTAATTGTCATATTTTTTTAAGATATAAATGATAGTCTAAACTACGAAGGAGAAGGACACTTTCAAGTATCAAGGTATCATGGAGTTCGAACCTAAAATCACTGGTCTGTAAGTTAATGCATTTTCCACTAGATTAAAGAGAAAGGGGAAGGCGTTGAAAAATAAATAAAACCTCTTTCATGTGGTTCAGATGATTTTTCATGAGAATTCAATTCACACATCAAACAAAAAACATGGAAAAAACGACATTCATGAGGTTGAGTATCAGTAAATGGTTGGCACAACTTGCCCCATCTCAACAAATCCAAAATTAGACAATTTCACATGTTTATTTGACATCAAACATGTCAAACATGCCTATCTCAAGGATGGGCCTACACTTTTTCTTGCCAACACATTCAAAAAAATTGGGACCTAGATTCTACCCTAAAATTATACAGTGAAGTTGGTGACATGAATCTTCCAACATCTCGTTGTAACATTACAGCACGCAGAAAGCGTTTGCAGCGTGGAGGCAGTACACAGACGACATGGCCGAGCAGCATTTGAAATGAAATATGATTCTCTTGGGCCTTGGATTTAGTGAAATATCTCTGGAGATCCATTCACTCCACAGAAAAATGAGCCGCACCGTACGTATGTCACGCAGAGAACAAAGAGAATAATTCTCGACACTTAAGAACACAGACGTTTTCTAACATAAGAGCTTTCATCCACATTGTGTGACCTGAAACCACTGCAGCTAACGTCGGACAGCCCGACCTTTTGGTTTTGCTGATTTCTGCAATTGTTAGAATACACAGAAGAGATTATTCAGTAGATGTACACTGCACCTCAACTAAACCATATTATTAGAGATGGGAAATCAAATCATATCTGCAGCATAGAGCTTAAGTTTGGTAATCTTTCAGTCCCATGTTTGTTTCTGGAACAAACTTAAGTTATATGAAGTGAAAATTAACTGAACTAAGAGAGCTGAAAGAAGATTCACACACCGATGAAGTAAAGCTAGACCCCAACCCTGTTGCAGAAGCACCTGGAAAAAGTGATAAAATATCCTAATTAGTACCGTCACAATCTTGGCAATGTAAAATTGTAGATCTTTATAGCAAAAGACTTCTGCATGTCTTCAACCATACACTATCTGATGTAGAACAAGTAATGAGAAATTATAAAGAAGAATAAATTTGACAATTTAATGTAAAAGTCCCGATGTAGAACTAAGAAGAATGAGATAAACCTGAAGCAAAGAATGAGCTTCCAATAGGAGTTGAACCGAAGGCTGGAGCAGTATTTCCTAGCAGAGAGGGAGTTGAAGCAGCTCCAAACAAAGATGCTGAGGAAGAACTAAACAGTGATGTCTGAGGCGTAGCGGAGGATGATCCAAAAAGAGAAGATATAGGACCAGAAGTGATTGGTGTAGCAAACAGAGAGGAAGACATGGAAGAAGATGGAGCAGAAGGGGTGCTGAAAAGTGAGAGTCCACTCCCGGAGGAAGCTGTAATAGTAGCTGTAGATATCTGGGGGGCAGGTGATGCCCCCTGAGTTCCTGAACTGGCAAACAATCCAGCAACTTGTGTTGATGGTTGTGAAGTTGCAGGTAAATGCAAAGTTGGATGCACCCTCTTAGCAGCAGCTTCTTGCCTAGCTGTTTCCCGGCGATCAGCCTCAAGAAATGGATCATTCCCATCCCCTAGGCGGCGCTGGTTAGCAAGATAAGCTGATTTCATGGATACAATGTACTGGTGAATACTCTCCACCTAAGAAACGGATCATATTATTGATTAGTAACTTTAAGTGTCGAGAAACATTATTCAGCTTCATTTGTGCTCAAAATGAAGGCCACAAGCATTGAACAAGCGAGAAGCCAGTATTGAGCTTTCTTTTTAGCTGCATTGTTTATTTTTCTTTGAAACCATTAAATGATACAAATTATTACAAACGACCATGCAAGTCAAAATGGTTACAACTACCATTGTGCAAATCTTTCTCCACCCACAAACAAAAGATATGAAAATAATTTGTTTACAGCAATTTAAACAATAAAAACCACAAGTTATGGCAGCATGCTTATCATATAAGGCCAACAGAATGCAGGTTCTGGCTGATAAAAGCCACAATGAAGTATATTTTACTGCATATCTCAATGATTAACTTTAACTAAACAAAATACAATTGTTTTTATTTACCTTAGCTGCCACGTGAACAAAAAAGTCATGCACATTTGACATGACTTTTGGAAGAGACTGCAACAATGAAGAGCCATCATTGGCAGAATTCCTCTCTGAGGCTAAAAGAAGCTGCTCTAATTCTTCAATCCACTGACGACACTCAACAAGATACTTCTCAAATCTTGCAATTGTTTGCTGTAGGAAGGGAGACGGTTTCCTTGGAAGCCCGTTGTAGAAATCAAAAACTGGCACTATAGAAGTAGCTGTTGGTTGACTACTTGAACCAGGTGGTACGGTTGCTCCAGAAGCCTGTGACGGTGCAATGGCATTTGAAGTACCTCCTGTATTTGGATGAAGAAACCGTGGGCGTAAAATCATGAAAGTACGAACAGCAACCTCGCTGTTCCGTAACATATCTTTCACAATAGCCATCAACTCATGCAGAAGAGCTTTCTGTCGGTCCATGGCAGTACCAATTCCCCCAAGTTCCTATATAGATAACAAAAGAATTTGTAACCATACATTGACAATTAGAAACATAAAGCATGCAATAGCAACGATGACTGCAATCACACCTAAGAAAATGGCATTGAAAGTCCTAGAACTTGCACCAGACCTTGCACCAGACCTTTCCTTTATTTATTTATTTTGGTGGGTACCATTGTTATATTTCCCGTCAATCTTATCAGTTTTTTCAATTTTAAGTCTTTTCATCATCCAACAAAAAAAATATATTGACATCAAACAAAAGAAGAGGTACAAGGCTATCAAATTATCATGAACGCGATCAGAAGATATCATTATAAGATTTCAAACGTCAACCCTCTTATCTAACAGTAATATGAAATGTACTTCTACAAAAGTTAAAAGCCATGAAGTTTTGAGTATAAGATCTCACAAGTGAATTTATTTTCCACTTATGGTAGAATCAGAATGAAAATGAATTGGAAGGTAATGAAAAAGAATCAGAATGAAGCACTCATATTAAGATGAATACTAGCTGTCTGGAACTGGAATGGAATGCGAATGAGGTTTGTTACCATTGATATGTTTTCTCTCTCAGGGATATCAGAATCAAAACCAATTTGATTATAAAATGTCCTTTGTTCAATATAAATTATATTATTGTCAAATACTTACTAACGAAATATATAAACGCCAATAACAATAATTCTACCATGAGCCCTCGCAAAATATATACAGACAATTTGCATACAAGATATTTAAAATGGCAAAAGAAAAACATTCGCTTCTAAGTAAATGTCGGACTAAGGACGAATGGGAATGATTCGCATTCTTTCGTTCTCCTTTCAAGTAAACAAGCATGCCATTATGTCAGAAGTCATCTACGTCGTCGCATTTTTCAGCAACTTATACCCAAATATGTATTTAATAATTAGAAGAAAACAACATCAACAAAGAATAATAAAATGCCCATAAGATTGAGGATATTTGCACAAAATTTGAATAACAGCATTATGGGTAAGATATGAGTTTTGTTTGTTTGTTGGAAATACATCAGGGAATCAGGAAATTATATATCCCTTACAATCAACTAAGAGAATATGGGATCCACAGGCAAAGAGCTCCTTTCATGCTGTTATGTGAAAACTAATGTAAAGAAATTTCATTATTTTATTCAAGAATTAATCATAGAGACCCAACATCTGTGACAGGACAAGCACTAGGAAACTGACTCCAAGAAGCATTTCTACATTTCCTGCTAACTAATTTTCCCTTATGTCCTGTATGCACACTTCCAAGCCTCCAAAGAATCTGGCAGAAGTCACTGATCCAACATGGTATGAGCCCCATAGTATATACACAAGAATGCCAAATGAAGCAGTTTGCGTACAATGACAAACCTCATAATCACAAGACCACACCCAACAAGACAAATAGAAATCACAGTTAGCAATTAGAAACTCTGATCTATCCAAGAAGCAAAACCTGAAGGATACGACTGGCATCATGCTCAAAAGTATCATTTGAAACTGAAGAATCGTAGAGACGACTACATTGATCCAGCCTCTGACTCTCATCCCTATGCCCCAGTATCCGTTCCCTGCAAGCAAACAATACTTAAGAACCTCAAAACCCATATATATAAAAACTATGTCTCAGCTCAGCTCATAATTATTAGAGTCAAAAAGTAAACTTAAGACTGTTAATTGTTATGCCAGCGTGACACATTAAATTTCACCTATCCAAAAAATATTACACCAAATCCTACGGAACGTAATGCGAACTACACCAATTAAAGCCCCCCACATATAGAGGAAAAGTAATTCACTTTATGAAGAGCAATGCAGCAAGTTTGCTTAATTTTGCTTAACACAACAAAAAAGACTCGAAATTTTGCTTTCTTCCCCTACACTTTCTTATCAACCAATCAGGCCAAATACCAAAACATTCACAATGGCACAATGGCAAACAAGACAAAGGCTCAAGATTTACAGAAATAAAAGAAAACGTACTCAATCTGAAGAAGAATTTTCTGGGAATCGGGATGGAGATCAGCCCACTTGGTACTATAACTCGCCGGAGCCTTGTCATTCGTAAACAAAAACATCTGCTGCTGCTGCTGCTGCTGCTGCTGCTGCTGCTGCTGTTGCTGTTGTTGCTGCTGCTGTTGCTGAAATTGAAGCGGCTGTGGCTGAAATTGCTGCTGCGGCTGTTGCTGTTGTTGTTGTGAGAAAAAGGGACTGCTTTGCTGAAACAACTGTGAGGGCTGCTGAGTTTGAAACAGCGACTGCTGCTGTTGCTGTTGCTGTGGCTGTGGCTGTGGCGTGGAGTAAAACGAGAATGCCATTGTGGGTTTTGTGGTCTGGTTTGCAATCGAGGTCGAAATTGAAAAAGACCCTGTTTAAAACCCTAGAGAGGGAAAAAAAAGGGCAAGTGAAAGACCCGCCCTTTGTTCCAGTGTGGACTAGGAAAATTGAATCATCTTATTTTTGCATCCTATTTTTCTTTTTTCTTTTTTTCAAACGCATCCGATTTTTCTCACACACCTTTAAAATTGTGTTTTTATTTACTTGAGAAGAAAAAAAAAGAAACTATAAAACTATTTTTGCTAAGTTGACAAAAGAAAAAAAACTACTTTTGCTAAAAAGGAAATAGGAAACTAAAAATAAATATAAATATAAAAAATATAAAAAATAAAAAACTAACATTTTTTTATCAACAAGGAAAACCAGTCCTTACAAAATTTTCTGAGTTTTTCATTTTCGCCTCATTACTTTTCAATTTTTAAAAATCCTTTTTAAGCAAAAAGAAAAAAATAATATCAAAAAGCTAGTTTCGACCTAAGGTGTACCTTCACTATCCTTCTCAACACTTGACACGTATTCATGAACATAACCATAGTTAACTATTTGTTTCATATCTCTGAAATCATGGTTATGCCCATATATACATGTCAAGTGTTAAAATGGATGGTGAGAGTACACCTTTAGTTAAAGTGGTGAGCAAAAATGCTCTCTTAAATAAGGGCAAGATTTCCTATGCATAATTTGAAAATCACCAATATAAATTATTATTTCAGTTTATAACTCTATTTCACATCTGGATTATGGACCTTTTACTTTGGCCAGTTTAGTTAATAAACAATTGATAATTAGTAAAAATTGTTCTCATGGAGTTAAGGGCAATAATAACAATAAATAAAAATTGTTCCATGAACATAGTTTTTTGACAATTATTTGTTGTTAAATGACCAAACTATAAAGCAGCATCATCATTATATAAGAGAAAAAAAATTATCTTCATAAGGTTACTATATTTAGAATTTATGCAAACAAAGATTTCATTCCATTGTCCGTATATGGAGACCAATTATAATCAACAAAGGGATTTCATTCTTATTAACCAATGACAATAAAGACCTAATTCCCTAATTAGAAATCAACATGGTAAACTTCACTCATGTCTGGATAAAACAATCCCCAATGAGACTCAGACCCCTTAGGCTTGAGATCTTCATTGAACAAAGCAAATATGTATGCCTCCAATCCCTTTCCTGGTCTCTTTGGTGTTCCAAATTGCCCATGCTTGATCAAATTGCTGTTATATGTTCTGGCATTATCGATAGTTGCTTGATCATGTCCTTCTCCTTCTGATGGCCACCCTGTTTCAGCCACAACAATCTCAACATTTGGTGCCCCTACCTTCTCAAGTGCCCAATAGAGAGCATCTAGGGAAGCATCAAGCAAATTTGTGTACCCTAGAGCCCCATCCGTTACAATAACCTCTGAGGTACTCATCCATGCATAGTCTAGCCTAATGTCATTCGGGTTGTCGTGGTAGGCGAAATATGGATAGGCATTGTAAAGAAGGGGGTAGCCATTGGCTTGCATATATTGTACCAGAGGAACCATAATTGAGGCTGCATAGGATACCATGTTCCTGCAGATGGTGGAAATGGTGATGCCAGTACATTTTGGAACACTGCTGTTGATATGGGGATATTGAGGTTGGCTGCAATTAGTGCAGTTCTCAGATTTTGCATGGCAGGGAGTATGCTGCTAGCATTTTGGCTTGGAACCATTTCGTTTCCAACGGATATGCAGCGAAAATTGACAGATGAAGCGAATGGAATGATGTTGGTTTGGAGCCAAGTGGGAGCAAATGCTGGATCATTGGCTAGGGTTGGGACATCTATGTTCAGTGTACCTATGATGACTTGTATTCCTGACCCTTGCAGTGCCTGCAGAACATCTTGTTGTGGATCGAAAATACGAATTCTTTGAATGTTCCTGGATTTACATAGCTGGATTACTTTGTCCGGAGTTGGAAGGTTGTCACCTTGCCTACCATAATTTGCCCCAATGCCCTGAGCTCCTGCTTTGTGAGACATCAAATTTAAATTACATCTCCCCATTTTATTCACAAGCAATATGAAAATTTATTTGTACGAAAAAGGCCAAGGACTTACCAGCATAGCTTTGCAACTCAGTCACAAGTAGCATAAAAGCTACTACAGAGTATAAGATTGAATGCTGCATTATGCAGAAAAATAGGAGACGATCAACTACAATACTGAAACAAAACTTGAGATACAAACCAGCCTAGGCAGCTACCATTCACTATGTGAAAAACAGATGAAACTTGAGCCTTTTTATATATGGAACTTTGCAATCTGTCGAAAGAAAATTCAGTTTAGAATTCCATATTAGGTTTCCATATTAGCAAGTTTAATTCCGTCCCGGCGTGAAGGGATATTCTTTTTTTGTGGTGCAGGTGTTAAGATTGGAGAGTGGAGTTAATTTGTACTAATCTAATTGTAATAATTGGATTGTCCACATTAATGTTCTCCTTTTCCTCAGGAATTTCACAATTTTGGGTGCTCTCTTTGCTTCCTTTCCATATCAGAATGCTGTTGATGCTTATCCTCTCCACACAGAAATGTGGGGAGGGTGAGAAGAGCACTGCCCTTAATTTAGATACAGCAAAGATTTGGCTTGCAGGGAATTAAATTAAATTATACAGCTTGGGCTTATATTTATTTATTATATACATGCATGTTGGTAATCTGAGAATGCTGAATGTTGGTAATCTCAATGGATTCAAGAACAACTCATATTCTTCAAAAACCTCAAAAATTGTGGGGCAAAGAGTGTGGCCCTTTGGGCAGAATTTGAAAACTGATGAGATGCCAAATTCATTTTCATTTTGTTCTTATACTCAAAAAACTTAGTTCTTGGATTGGGATATGTAGCAATTCAGTGGCAAATTAAATTAGCCTCAAGCCTCAAGCCTCAACACTATCATTAGAAGTCTACAGCAGTAAGATACAGAATATTATCCATAAGATACAAAAAAAGAGAAGGGGGAGGAGAGAATTAGGAGAGAGACAAAAAAAGAACAGATTTTTTTTTCTCATTTGAGACCATTTCCAGGGGTAGAAATTGCCAACTCTGGCCAAGAACAGAACTCACCCCCAACAGAGCCAACACCCACATTCACAATCCCACCACCTTCTCCACTCTCAAATTGCCACGTGTTCATCATCCCATGGCCCCCACCATTACCTCCAACACCAGCACCACCATCTCCCACCCCGGGAAAAGGCCACACCGCTCTCCCAAGCCCAAAGCCCATCTCCTCAAACCCATTGGCCAGCCCAAGACCAAACCCCCCTAAGGCCAAAAAACCAGGCCCCTGAGTGTTGAGCAGAGAAGTGAAGCTAGCGCCGCCCCCACCACCGCATCCATTTCCCACATTCCCCTTCATGTCCCCAAACGCGGCGGCGCCACCCGGGTTCATAAAAACTGGGGTGGGGGGAATTGGGTGGTCGGAGAGTGAGGAAGTGGCGGTGGTGGCGATCATGGAGGAGGAGCTGGTGGTGCGGGAGCGCTTAGCGTTCTTGCGGGTCCCGCCGCCGACGGGGATGTCGCGGAGGGTGCCGCCGTGGGTCCAGTAGCGGCGGCAGGACTTGCAGAAGTGGCGGGGCTGGGAGAAGTTGTAGTTGTTGTAGTAACAGAACTTGGTGTTGGTGGAGTCGCAGCGTGGGCAAGGGAGGTGCTCTTGCTCCGGCGGTGGGGCACCCGGGGTCTGGGCCTTCGCCGGCCTCCGGTTCTGGTTATTCTGCTGATCGCTCGAGTCCGACGGCATTTGGGTCTCAATCAAACGGCTAAGTTTGGTTTGGTTGTGTGGTTTGATCAAAGGTGTTTGATATTTTTGTTGGAGCAGTGATATAAGATGATGGTGAAGAAAATGAGAGAATGGGATTTTGGGTTTTTGCGGGGAGGGGGTGAAGGGGTTTTTATGGAGAGAGAAGGAGGAGAGAGAGAGAGAGTGGGAGAGTGAGATTGGTGCTGGTGTGGCATAGTGAAACAGGGTTTCTGAGGCATATATGAAGCAGAGTGAGCAGGCTTTTACAGTGTGTTCTGTTAAGCACGACATTTCAGTCGGCTCCAGAACAGCCTCTGTTTTTCTCTGTTTTGGGTCGGCTAAAACTACAGCTACAACCGGGCTCGAACCCTCCAAAAAAAAATTTCTGTTTTTTTTTTTGGGTCTGAAAATTACAAAGTTAATTTAAATTTCCTAGCTATACCTATGAATCTATGATTTGGGTGGTGGGGATCGGGGTTATATCCATAAGTTTTTTTTATATATAAATCCGTTATATCCATAAGGTTCTGCAGAAAGTACATTACATATACATACATACATAACATAGTAATCTAACATCTCTCTCAGTCTCTCTCTCTCTCTCTCTGTCTGTTTTTATGTATGTATGTATGCATGTATATTCTATATACAGATAGCGCCTGTGGTCGGAGATTTCAATTCACCTTTTGCATGCATGGCTTCTGAGGCCTAGCTCAGGCCTGAAAGTACTGTGCATGGAGGGGACTAATTATTATATAAACAAGGTAGGTTTATTCCAATGATCCCTCCATAATATCGTACGAACATGCTAGATTACAAGATTTATTGCTTTTTGGCTACTAGCTAGCTATTGTCCGGGCTACGTACAGCACCTGCTCTGTAGGGTATATAAAACCCAGAAAAATGAAAGAACCAAAAAACAAAAAACGAAAAACAAAAAAAAAGAGCTTAATTGAATTTGCATGCAATACACCAAGTTGGTTCGCATTTGTGTTTCATGTCAATTAGGGTTCTTGCTCTTCTCCTCTGCAACAAAATTTGATCCATCTTTCTAACATTAGATTGCTAAATAAAGTATATAAAAAAAGGGGGGGCTACATGTTAAATATAGGAAAAGTGCTCGACAAAAAATAATGGGAAAAGGGGCTACATGTCTTTCCCAAGATGGTTCAATTCAAACTTTACCTCTCTAAAATTGAAACCATAAGCTGCTAACCCTTTTTTTTCTCTTTAGAAAAGAAAAGTTAAAATATGATATTTCTAAGTATAGTGAGCTGAAGACTAGAAGAGTACTGGGATCGAAATCAATAATTAGACGACATAACAATCTTGAGTTATCATATTCTATGACGTGAGAATATTACTCGTAAGATTATAAATATACTAGTTTCTAAACTCATTAGCCGTATCAAGAATCTCACACTAGAATGAGATATAGATTATATTTTCTACAATAATAATCATGAACTAAGATTAGATAATAAGTGTCTAGATTAATGGGGTGAGAAGACAAAAATTGAAGTAAGCTAAGCGGGCAATACCCGTCAAAGTTGAGAGGGATTGATGGGGTGTTGGGATTAGGTGGGTGGGGCAGTACCGACAGAATTATGAATGTCGGACAGCGTGGGAGCAATTATTGGTTCTCTCCTCTGATTTCGGACGCGTCATGTCCGCATCAGATTCCTCCTCCGTACCTCTTCCTCTCACCGCATTTCGCGCTCCACTGTACCCATTACCAAACAACACACACAATTCTCCCCCTATTCCCACTCCGGTTTTTCCTATTCGCACCCAAACACAGCCATGTCTAATCTAAGGCCTATGAGCTATGATATGAATCTGCTACACCCCTCTGTCACAAGACACACAATTCAAAATCATAACCCCCACCTTTTCATAATTTTTATGTACCTAAAAAATAATTAACCACGCACGAACAGATGAATTGGTCAGGCAGGCAAAGGCTTATTATTATTTGTTATTATCAAGCTTAATATACAAGCCATGCCTTATGATATAAAGCTTAACTAAAGCCATGCATGTTTTGAATGATTAGTTGAAAGCTGAAAGGTAGATTCATGGACTGGCCCTCCTAATTTATGCATCTCAAGCTGCATTGGAGATAAAGGTTAGTATAGTTGTCTTTTTGAAGACTGTTTGTTAGGAGTTCACGCACAATTTCAAGCTCAAAATATCACAAATATAACGAAAAAAATGAAATGAAAGAAATAATCGATTACATAACACATAAGATTTACGAAATTCACTCCAAATTAAATTACATTACTAGACGTCCAATAATTAACGACTCACTAAGCACATATCAAAATTACTATTCCCTCACACACAACCAATTTCACTCATCCCAACCCAACACCAAAGAAACTCACTCTTCCATCCTCAAATTTTCTCTCACTTGATATGTAACAACCCTAGAAACGAACCTTCAAAGCCACTACATATCTCTTCAGCACTCACTTTGATCACACGCCAAGGAGACAAACACCATAATGATATATATATTCATAGGCTTTCTTACAAAACCAAAGTTCCACTAGAGCAATTTATCCAAACCGATAAGCAATCCCAAAACATAACTAAATAGAATTCAAACTAAAGGAAATTAAATTCACAAGGGTTGACTGGTCGCTCTTTGGGGGCGGACCAGTCTGATTTGTACCAAAAGTGAATACCACAATGGTTCGACTGGTTGATTTGTAGCTGTCACCAACAAGCTACCAATTGGAGCCGCAATTTCCAATAGTAATAACAAACACTTCCTTTAAAAAGGTTGTGCTTAACCAGGATTTACTCGGGTTATCATCTTTAAGGAATAACGTCAAGGGTGAGGCAAATCATGTTTGCTTTGTTACATCATCTTTTTATCTTCTCCAATGAGGTTAAAAAAATACAAAATTGTTTGATGGCAAAATTGACGTATCACATGATGAGAGAGATAGAGTGATAGTATACACATGTGATGCATTGTGTTAATTCAGATGACTAAGTCATCGTGCATACCCCTTTGCACTCTAGTTCGAATCCATCTCTCCATTTTATAAGAGTTTAAACTTGTACTACTAGTGGCCATTACACAACATAGTGATTGCTGAATCCAAATCAGGGGTCTAATTCACTACAAAAACACAAAGACCAAAAAACAAAAAGGTTATATTATATTATTGTCTTCATTGTAAAGTCTTTGGATAAGATGAACGGATTCTTCCTTTTTCACCTCTTATTCAAGGACTACCAGGTGAGGTGGGGGTGGGGGTGGGGGTGGGGGGTTCCCTTTTGAAGTGACACGTGGCGAAGAAAGACAGGTAGTTGTCGGTCAAGAGACGAATGGCACGCCAAGGCTGAGAGGCCATAGAAATGTCTCCGGCAAAGCATCATAGGTCGTTTTCAAAGGCTGTGTCAGTCCTAAACACTATTGCCATCCTCTCAATCTGAGTCTCTCTCAGTCTGCTTATTCGGTCGCCTATTATCACTGACAATGCCTACCTCCCTTTCTTTCTTTTTTCTTCACCAACTTAGATTTTTCAATGCTCTCTCTCTCTCTCTCTCTCTCTCTGTTTGTCTCACTCTTTTATATTTGGATTTTTCTGCCATGGACATGATTCCTTCACATGAACCAATGATCATACTTTGGGTGTGTGTCCACATTGAGAAAACAAATATTCACATCTACCCCAAATATAAATGCTTCTAAGAACTTCTAGCTACTTTTTTTGTTTGTTTTGTTGTTGCTTTTCTTGGTTGGACCAAAACCAAATCGATGTTTTCCTTTTTCATGTTTTTTTAAACATCTTAATGCTAGATTTGTGATTAAAATAAATAAAGAGACAACTCAAGTGTTTCATACATTTGCGAAAGTTTGAGTTTAGTTTGAGTTTAGTACGTTTGATTCATAGTTTCTCTCATATTCATATTTTTCTATTGAGCTATCTATTAGAATTAAGCATATTTTTGTGTCAAGAGTTTTACGAGATTCTTTTCCGGGTACTGTGGGAGCAAAAATTACTCCTTAAGAAATTAATCCATTAGCACTCAAAACTCGTGGAAGTAAAGTTATAATCAAGAAACATATTTTTATTATTTTCTATTCATGATCATACATTAATGAAATCATAGAATTAGTGGGACTTGATGACCAAACACAACCAAGGTGCGCATGTCCCACAGGCAATATAACACTTTGTTTTTTTCCCTGCACGGCAGATGGTAACTTGAACCATATCAAGAATTATAGTGGAAGAAAATTAGGTGGAAGTGAAGTTTCTCAACACGTCATGTCTTTATGTAAGGTATCCATAACATGTTTAAGCCAAAATCTCTGTGGATCCAAATCTCCCAATCCAAGCATAAAAACATTCGAAAAGGCTTACATTTTTGTTACAGTTTACAAAATAAAGGCGGAAATAGTAGGACAAACAAGTTTTAATGGTCGCGAAGTTGTCTGAGATTCATTGGAGAAATGAATCTGGTGTCTCCATCAATCAATTTTTTGGCGAGTAGAAGATTGGCAGCCTCACTGGGATGGTAGGGATCCCAGAAAACATGCATGGAGCGATCCGAGCACAAACTAGACGTTGGACCACATGGAACTATACCTGCGTATTGGCCCCCATTTCCACAGCAAGCTTTACTTGCTGTTTTAAATCCTGCAATGCAGCATACACAAATTAAATCAGGTTTCATTAATCATCATCTAATAATAATCATTAAGACATTAACCAATTAATTACCCCGCCACGGGCTATTAATGTTCAGAGTATTGGTATCTCCTGGTTCAGCTAATGCACAAGAAACCTAATTGATCTTCTTCTTCCACAAATATATTAACGTCAAGGCCATCAAGATGAATATGGCAGAACCATTGTATTGCTCATTAGAAAAAAGGGCAAACGTCACGGTTCGCCTGGCCACATGTTTATCAGTGGCGGATATGGAGGTTTTCTAGTAGCAGATGATGTTTTCTTACCACACATCTACTGTATTATGTTGTTAGAATGTAAATCGAATACTGTATATTTTTAGACCCTCTATATTAATGTAATTTTGTTTTTCAATTAGAACTCAGAAAAGGACCGTGTTATACATAGCTTGGTTTTGAAAATACCAAGACTGTATATAGGTTGGGTAAGTTGTTGAGTTACTTTCAAATAAAAATATTAATTTGATAAATCTTGGGTTAAAATAATACCATATATATTTTCATATAATATGATATTTGATTTGGGCTTACCATATTTGGCATAATTTGTGATGAGCTCCTTCACCAGATCATAGACATTTGCATAAACAAATGTTGACCCTGGGAGGTTGTCATTTAGCTCAGCAAGCAAGTCCTTCAACCGGCCATTGTACTGAAGAGCCAGCTTATTGGGCAGCTCCACACACTCGTCTGGATTTAGTTGATTTATAGTCTTCTGGTAAGGGATGCAGCCTAGGGGACCAACATTTCCAATCACAAATTTTCGAGCATCCAATTGGTAAAGTCTCTGCACCAATTAATTAGTCACTAAACATGTTAATTAAGATTGGATCTTGATTTGCATATCAGTAGTCTCAAGTTCGAATCTTCACAATACTTTGGTAGTGTGTGTGAAACCCTCATCGTTTGTATTTTTTTTATTATAAAAAAACCCGAATTAATCAATCAAATAAAACTTACAGTGAGTTGGGCCCTGAAGTGACTTATCAGATCATCAATAAACGCATCTGGGGTCTCAGAAATTCTTGCTCCAATGGAGAGGACTGGAAGCAGATAATTGTTCAAGAAGTCATTGGATCCAATTGTGATTGAAAATATGGATCTTTTCATTATGTACTCTTTTGCCTTCGATGGGCCCAACACCTTATCAATCTGCTTCCTTGTCTGGTTGTAAAAATCAACTTGGATATCCATTCCCACCCTATTAACCTGCAAGGCAAGATTTATATTATAAATCTTTTGTAGTTGGATACAACATGTCTTTAAAGTGCATAAAATTAAACTCCACCAAAAAATAAAAAAAATAAAAAAAAAGAAAAGTAATCCATAGAGGGTTGAGAGCTTGCTAACAAATATTCTCCCTGTTGAGTTCAAAATCCCTGCTCCTCCTGATGCATAATTCACCCCATACAAGATTGATTTCCCTGTAGTATTTGGTGACAAGTATGGGAGTGCATAATTTGGTTGCCCTAATTCTTCACCTGCACAAACAAAAAAAAAGGGTTTGTTTTCATGTTAAACGCAAAAATGATAAATTATCAGGAATGCATTATGGATCATATCTCTAACAGATGCGAGAGTCACGTACCAACTATGTCACCAATGGTTCTGCCATTGGTATACCTCCCGGTGGGTTTTCCTCCAGATGCTTTAAAATCAATCCCATTAGGAACAATATTTGCCTTGGACAACGTTGGTAAATAGTTGTTGTTTCCAGAATCAACTAGAGAATCACCAAAGATGAAAGAAGCTCCTAACCCTTGATTCTCAGCAGCATTTGCCAAATGGATCATGAACAAAAGAACCAAGCCTACCAAGGCCACAATATTGCAAGATTTCATCATGGCTATGGGGCTATGCTTCCCAAGTTGAGGATGAAAACTAAGTGCCAATTCGACGTATATAAGCAACTTATTGTTCACGAGAGAAGCTAAAAGAAGCCATTGCTGAAACTTGTAAGATTTTAAAATCCAGCTGCATTTGGTTTGACCTCTTTTTGTAGAGGTCTATGACCACTTATTTTGATGAGGTAGTTGATCAACATTGGTGCAATTTTCTCAACATGTCCAGAACTTTTAGGTTGCTTCTGCAAGCGTGCAAAGGGATCCACGTCATTTATTGTACATGAAAGATGTCATTGGGGAACTTAGGTGTTGGTTGGTTAGGAACTTAGGAGTTGGAAAAGCTATTTAATACAAAGATTTAATTTGGAGAGAAGCGGCGGTGCCTGCGCCAATAAAATTTGGGAGAGTAAGCTGAAAACGTTTGTGATTTCAAGAACAAAATTGAAGAGTTTTTTTTCCTTGTTTTTTTTTTTTTTTTTTTTTTTTACGTTAGAAGATAGATAGAGTATCTCCAGTGGAGCTCTAACAACATCTTCAAGGGAGATGTCAAATATAAAATGTTAAATTTGATGGCTTATGTGACAATTTGACACTTTGAAAAAAATTGAACCCCACCCGAAATACCAAATATCATATTATTTTATTATATATTTTTAAAAAATGGGGCCCATATAATACATAAAGTTTTAAAAGAGAGTAAAGGATAGTAGGGTCCATGACTAAAAAAAATTAAAATAATATTTGACATCAAGCTTTTTGATATGTTATTTTTGATATATCTCTTATAAGAGCATCTCCAACCGATGTGTCAAAAGTGCCACATAGACATTTAACGGCTAAAAATAACATCTCACATCACTCCAACCGATGTGTCAAAACTGATGTGGAATGAAGGCTGAAGGTTGAGATGTTATTTTTGACATACTAAAAGCAAGATGTCAAATGAATATTTTATTATTTTTAAAAGATAGTTGACTATTACTTTCATTTATTATTTTCCTTATTTTATTTTTTTTCTTCTTTATCTTAAATGATTTGACTGTTACAATAATTATTTATTTGACATATCGGGTGGAGTGTAAAATTGTGTAAATGTCAAATTGTCACATCAGTCATCAAATTTAAATTTGATGTTTGGTATTTGACATCTCCCTTGGAGATGCTCTAACCTTCAAATCCATGTATGATTTGATTACTCGGTTGGAGCAATTTTAACCTTCAAATTTTGTCATTTCATGTCCATGTGGCAATTTGACATATCGGTTGGAGATGTTCTAAGAGCATCAACAATGGAGGGGTGTATTTTCGAGGGTGTAAAGTTACTTTTACATACCTCCGGGGGTGTTTTTGCTCAAATGGAGAATATGTAAATTTAAAGATATATAATTGATTTTGCTAACTTTTGTCCACCTTTTCTCACTTTTTCTCATGTATGCCCCACTTGCAAGGGATGTAAAAAAGGATGCACATGTGCATCTAAATTTGCATATTATGATTGTGATACAAATTTACAATCGTTTACACCTCCTCATTGCAGGTGATTCCGATTACAAATGGTATATATTTAACATACACCTCATTATACAACCCCCCCACTAAAGATGCTCTAATAAATTTGAGTTTAGATTAAAGATAAGGGTTACCAACTATAACAATTAGGTTCAACGTACATAATCACATAATTTTAAGCACAAATATCTCTTAGCAACTATAATTTTGTTTCTCCTTCTGTTGTGCTAACCCTTCACATTTTTTCTTAACTCTGCACCATTCAAAGAAGAACTATGCTTGGCCATAAAAGGTTTTTTTTATCAGGCTCTGAGTTGAGTTGATGTGCTTCTTTGGGGTTCCTCTTTGATGTCATCTTTGTGTTCTTCCTTCGTGTGTTGTCTTTTGTCTCTAACCCTTGGGACCAAATTGATTCGTAAAAATAATTTGATGGGAAATAATTTCCCATGTCTTTCCCAAGGGATGAAAAATGGAAGATTCATTTCCCATTCCTATGTCTTTCCCAAGGGATGAGAAATTGAATATTCATTTCTCATGTTTGGTAATGCTGGGAAAGTAACTAGGAAATATCACTTTATTTCCTTTCACGTGTTTGGTTTGCATAGGAATGTAAAACAAAGTTTATTTAAATTTTCAATTGTACCCATATGAAATCAAATTTTTAAAAAAATGCATTTAATGCTATATTGTAATTCTAAATTGTTAATGGGGAAAAAAATGGTCATAAAAAATGTGTATTTAATGTTGGCTCATTTTCCCAAAATTTCCCATGATGGGGGAAAACAAAACCGAAAATGGGAGGAGGGCTTTACTTTCCCCTTTACTTTTCCATGTGCTAGGTAAACATTTCTCATGCATGTACTTACCAAATATGGGAAAGCAATTAATTTCTCATCCCCAAGCCTCATTTTTCATGAACCAAACGGGGCCTTGGTGTGCTATACAGTTATTGTGATATTCAAAGGACCATGAGTTCTCATAGAAGACTTCTTTTGACGGTTGGGATGCGTTGTGGTTCTGTCCTGTAAGTCTATTGTATTGGTGTTTAGTAGGTTTTTTCTTTTTTCTAGTTTTTGTAGCGGTCTAATGTCGCTTAGGTTGGGATCTCCTGTTAATCTATAACATATGTGATACTCTTTCCTTCCCTGGAGTTTGTCCCACGTGGTTTTCCTATGAATGTTTTAACGAGGCCCCTATATTCGTGTCTTTCTTTGTATGCCTCTTATGATTTATGAATGAGATTTTCTTCTATAAAAAAAAATTGTAACCATTAGGTTCAATGATGGTTGGTGATAGTCAAGTGAACTCATTTCTTAAAAGTGTAGTGTTATTAACACTCCAAAGAGTCATACTGCACTCCTATTAACTTTTATTGATTCAGTAAAAAGAAGTGCATGATGACTATTTTGGAGTGTCAATATCAACTCCCTTATTATTTTACCTATTTTTTATTTTGGGAATCGGAAACATTCTCCTAATAATATTAGGTAAGACAATAAACCAAAACAAAAGCAGGAGGAAATATAGAAGGTAAGATTTTTCAAATTTGAAAAAAAAAAGTAAAAAGTAAAAATAAATACCATCCCCAACTATAAAAGAAAACACAAAAGCCCAGTTGTGCCCTAAACCCTGCTCTCCCTCCTTGGAAATTTCGAAAATCCATTTCGGGCTCCAAATTCGACCGTTGGGGTGAGAGGTTCAAATCAAATACAGAGACTCAGAAACTCAAGAGTCAGAAACAGAGAGGAACAAGAGTGAGTTCACAATGCCGATTCTGAGGAAGAAGAGTGCTGCCTCCGCAAACCCTAACAATCGAAGCAACAATGAGCAAACCCAAACCTCTCAGACCCAGAACAAGTCTCAGTACGAGCAGTCCAGAGAAGAAAGAATCAAGGAAAATCTTGAGAGAATGAAAAAGCTCGGCATTGTTGACATCTCTCTTCAGCTCAAGTCTAACTTTCAAACCAAGCGCACAGCACCAAAGAGCTTTTCCAACCGCAGTACGACGCCCTTTCCCATTCGGGAGCCAGGACGCCTTCGTCGCTCTTCTAGGTAATCTTTGCATGCCCTCTCTGTTACCTTCTTTGTTTGCTGCCTGCCTCTGCATAGACTGCATGAATCTGTTTGTTGATATTGAGAAAAATGCTTTCTTTTGTAGTTACAAATGACTTTTATATACATTTGGGGCATAGAAGTTAAAACTTTTAACCAACTGGGTTTCTGATCTGGTGGGTTTTACTGTCTTAGACTATTTCTGACTTCGAATGCTCCATGGGTTCTCAAATTTTTATTTATTGTTTTGAATTATACATGTTTTTGCTTTAAAGAATGAATCTTTAATCGAGTGGGTCTGTGATTCTGGTGGTTTAAAACAGTTTCTGATTGTGAATGCTTCCTACCTAGTACTTGATTTTGGAGAATGTGGATTGGATCTCAAATACTTTTTTCGTAATCCTATTTGACATTTTTTTTTCCTTAGGTTATTTTATTGTTTATAATTTGGTTGTTGCTTCAGATTGCAGAATGCGACACCAGTAAGCTACTCGGAGAAGTATTTGACAAAGAAGGATAAGGCTTTGGACAAGGAAGGCATTATGCTGGAGGAGGGTGCAAAGCCGGAGATTTACACCAAAGAGCATGAAAAGTTGTTGGGTAACACAGATAAGAGCTGGACTTTATTTGTGGATGGTTATGGAAAAGATGGAAAACGAATTTATGACCAAGTTAGAGGAAAGACTTGCCATCAATGCAGGTATAACCTTTATTGCCAAAATGTTGCATAATGTAAATAGTAAATGCCCTATTTGAACAGTGAGAGAATGCTGGGCTTAGTATAAATAGGGATAGAGAAAGAACAGTTTAGAATGTTAGGCAAAGAACAAGTTGAATATGCAAAAGAAGATTAATTAGAATGGAGAACAAGGTAAGGAACATGAGTTTAAACTTTGTCTTCAAGTCTTATGAATATCAAATATTGTAAGTTTGTAACATCCAGAATTCATTATTTTCCTCATAAGATAACAACGTACTAATGAAACAACTTCCCCTTTCCATAATTTCAATTTCCTTTTCTTGCTAAGTGCTGTGTCACATCCAGAGGTGATATCATCCCATGCAACAAGTGTTGCAGTGGAGCTTTTTGTGGATTAGTGCCCTTGTATTAGTATATTAACAAGGATTGAAAATCTGTTTTACAGGCAGAAAACTCTGGGTCATCATACTCACTGCATCCAGTGCGACAAGGTCCAAGGACAGTTTTGTGGAGATTGTTTGTACATGAGGTAAACTGTATACTCTTATAAGTTTCTTCTCTGCCGTAATATCTATCTATTAGTTTGGCCCCCATTGCTTTTAATCATTCCTATTTGTAAACATTGGGCAGATTTGTTATGATGTCATAAAGGGGTTAATAACTATAGATTCCTAGTTTCGACCCAAAAAAAAATTTATAGATTCCTTGCATGCATCTCTTAGGCACATGTTTTGGTTGT